ATAATCTTTAATATTAGGGATAAAGTTTTACTAAATAGTAAAAATATTTATAGTATTAGGCTAAAGAAGAAGCTTAACTATATAATAATAGATCTATATAAGATTACTTATATAATTAATAACTAGGCGTACGAGTTATAACTCCCTTCTATATTAAAGATATATAATATATTTTATATTATACTTCTTAACCTATTTTATATCTTATTATTACTAGATTATTCTAAATAGATACTATATAAAGTAGTTATATAAGAAGGTATAGATATCTATAAAGTTAAGTAGATACTTAGCTAGTAACACGCCGAAGATAGTATATAGCTATATAAAATTTATTAGAAAGGATATAATCCTAATAAAGATACTTAGAAACCTATAATAAATATTCGTAAAGTAGTAATATTAGTATATAAGTAGTAATTAGTAAAGGAAGCCATAGAATTATAGAGAATTATACTAAAGTATAGTAATTTAATATTTTTTAGTATAGTTTAGCGCTAAGAACGGCCGCCTAAAAGGAAGAAGGTAAAAGAGATATAGATCTTTAAAATATTCTAAGGAATTAAGGAACTTCCTTAGAAAGTTTAAACTTAGAACTCCCTTAGAAAGTTCGAACTTAGAACTCTCTTAGAAAGTTTAAACTTAGAACTTTAAAAAATTTAACTAAAAAAGAGACTTAGAAAAATAATTTACTAAGAGAAATAAATATTAAAGATCGGTACTAATTAGTATAGATCGGTATAGATTACTAAAGAGATTAAAGGAGTTATTATTAAAGAAAGATAAAATTAAGAAAGCTAAAAGAAAATATAAAGATCTATATAGATCTATATAAACTTATACTAATCTATCTAGAAGAAGTAAGATTACTTTAAAATTAAAACCGAAAACTAAAAACACTAGATAAAAGAAATATATTAGTACTAATTAGTATAGATCTAAACTAATTAAGTTAGAGTAGAAGTAGAAGTACTAATTACTATAATAATTATATCTAATTCCTTCCGCTAGTTCTTATTTAGTATAGTATAGAGCTTTATAATATAAGTCTCTAGCCTTTTATTCTAACACTATAAATTCTATATAGCGCGCCTTATAGCTATAAACTCCTCTATAGAAACCTATAGAGCAGTAGAACCTAAAATAGAGAGAGATAGACTAGCGTGGGTACGCTAAGAATTATATAAATTAGTAAAAAGATTTAATAATTAGTATAGAACTATATACCTTTAGTATAGAAACTTCTAGATTAGAGCTATCTTCCCTAAATTTATAGCTCTTTAGTACACGTAAGGAAGGAACCTTAGCCTTTTTATTAGAACCTTTTCTAGGAATTTTAATATCGCTAGTATATAGAAAGAAGTCTAAAGTAGTAGAGATTTTAGTACTATTATAGAGATTAATATATATTAGTAAGAATCTATAATAATTTAAGAAAAATAATATTATCTAGTAATCGCGGTAATAATAGCTATAGTAGATTCTAATAAATTCTTATAGATTATATTTAAATTATACTCCTAGGTATAACTCTTACCTTAGGTATATAGTTTATAGAAAGCCTTCTCTAAGGTATTATAATTAGTAGTACTACGCTCCTTATTAGTAGGGGTTACTAGAGATCTAGTAGTAATCTATACTAATATAAGTAAATCTATATAAAGTTCTTTAAACTTATTTAAATACCTATAAGTAATAACGCTTCTTAGTTATATAAGTACTATATATTATAGATTTAGTACTACCGTAAGTAATATATAATAGAAAGTAATAACTATAATAATATATAGCTAGATTATTAGAGCCCGGCCTAGGTTAGAGTAGATTAATAGCTTTTAATATATTAGTAACGTATACGAGATAGGGATTATTTAAAGATATCTATTTCTATACTAATTACTTTAGAGTATTAAGATTTTAGAAAACTATATTATAATTATTACTAATTTATATAGATTATTATAGATTATTATTATTACTAGCTAAATATAGTATAAAAATTAGTAAATTATATAAATTATACTAAATTATAGTAAATCTATATAAATCTATATCTATAAGAATTAGATAATATATCTAATAATCTAAAAAACTCTATAAAGAGTTAAGAAGTTTTTTAAAGAAAGGAATATTTCTAAGAAAAGATTTTAATATAGATAGTACCTAGACTTATCTAATTATATTACATAATACACTAGGCCTAATTAGATAATCTTACCTATATAAGAATTTAAGATAGATAAAATCTAGTTTATTAGGAAAATACTTATATAAATCTTAGATTAGTAAATATTAGTAAATATCTAAGATAAAGTATAGAGAAAGACTAAGATCTTATAAGAGTTAGGATAGAGATATAGAGATAGATAATAATCTAGGTTACTAAGGGTAGCTTCCTAAAGGAAGGGGATAATTATTAGAACTTAGCTTTAGATATAATCTAATCTATATATACCTTAGCTAATAGAGTTAGGAGGTGGCGTAAAGGGTAGTAAATAGTTATATACTAGATAGATCGGCGTCCCTTTATATATATACTCTTAGATTTCTACCGAAAGGGTTTAGTAGTAATTCGTTCTATAATAGAATACACCCTATTATTCTATCTAACTATACTACTATCTAATAACCCTATTCTTACACGTTTTATCTATAAGATACTAAGTTCTATTAGTATAGGTCTATTATAGAATCCTTTATATAGGTAGTTTAGGGCCTTATTAATATAGCCCTTCTAAGTATCTCGTTTAAGTATAGGTTAAAAGATCTTTTTTCCTCTTTTCTTATAGTATCTTTTATATAGTTGGTTATTAATCTAGACTATAAGCTTAATATATTCCTAGAGGTTAGTAGAACGGTCCCTCTCCCTAGAGATTTCATTCTTAATATTATTATATAATCTAGTATAGAACTAGAGAATTAGGATTTTATTATTCTATTCTAACTAACTAGAGATTTATTAGAATTTAGAGGTATAGTTAGATATAGATTTTATCTAGACTATTTACTAGATCTATCTCTTAGCTATCCTTTATTTATCTATATCTCTAAAGGTTATCTTAATATATTCCTCGAATTCTTTAAAATATTTAAAGATCTTAATAGTATTATTCTATTAATTCTATAGATTATTTTCTATAAAGTCCCTTAAGTAGGGTTTAAACTAAGTAAGTATATCTCCCTTTAGTAGTTCTATAGTAAATATAACTTATTCTTCTAGGTCCTAGATTTAATAGGCCTAGAGGTATATTCTAATCTATATTAGAAATCCTTAGAGTTTACTTTACTTACCTTTAAAAGATTCTAGGATTTTTCTTTTAAAGCCCTTCTTAGCTTTTCTAAGTTTAATATTTTCCCTCCGGAGCTCCACGACTTACTCCCATAGTTCTATAATAAGGTATCTAACTTATTCTATAGTCGGGGCTTATAGGGCGGTTTATAAAGATAAGGACTATCTATTATTTACTATTTTATATTTAAATAGATAGCGTAAATACTTACTTTAGAGTCTAAGTAGAAGTAATTAAACTATAATAAACCTTCTCTAATAAGGACGTAGCTTATCCCTAAAGTAGTCTATTATATAGAGTATTCTAGCTTTTCTAAAGGTAAAGATACTTAGAGAGCTTAGAAGAGTATAAGTAGGTTTATAATAAGTATTAATAGGGTATAAATAGTAACTAGCTAGTAGGCGAGTAAAGTAGTAATTATATTAGTATAAGTTTAAATTAATTACTATAGAACTATCTCTAGAGATTAGGTCTAAAGAGTCTATATAGTTCTACTAAGGTCCTCTAATTAGAATACTTATTCTAAGCGTTTAGTATATTACTTAGAATACTAATATTCTATTTCTAATTACCTAGTAGGCTACTTAGAATACCTATTCTAAGTACCTATAATTAGCTCTCCCTATAGGTATCTATCTTATCCTTAGGTTATTATCTAAGGCTATCTATTATATTATAGGCACCTCTTCTACGTGTTATACTATCTCTTATACTACTTATACTAGAGTCTACGTATTCCTCTATGGCTCTAGCTAGTAATTTATTATAATATACTATCTAGTATTGAATCTTATCTATAAGGGTATCCGTAAGTAGAATTCTCTCTATCTTAGTTATCTATAGTATTTTACGCCTTTAGTTATTTTTTTATTTTTTAGATAGTAGTTTAGTTATTCTAGAATATACTACTATATAGCTATTTCTATTATACTAGTAGTAGAGGTATACCTAGTAGAAGCTAGGGTATATTAGTACCTAAGGCTACTATAATTATTAGTTAAGGGCTACCCTTAACTAATAAAGAGGGTTAGTATATTAGTATTTATTAGTAGTAGTCTATACTTATTACTCTAAAGAGTTTTTAAGTATATATATATAGTATCTCTATATATTAGTACTATTATATATTATATACTATATATATATATATATATATATTAAAAGTTATTATACTTAGTATACTCTATTAATTAATGTCTATAGATTACTATATCGCTCTAACTTAACTAGTTTTAGTTACTTAGAGTATAAGAAGTTTAAAAAGATATATTTTTTAGTATAGTTTAGTACTCTAATTGTAACATATAGACTCTTGTAAGAAAGTAGAGAGATTTGATAGACACACGTGGGTAAAACTAGAAGAACGCTAAGAAAGTCAGGTTCTAGGAAAACGACGGATAATCTCAAAAAGGCTAGCGTGCGGCACAGTACAATAAGGCACGAAATGCACAGGCACGAATGCTGGCTGCGTTAATTCCTGCACATATTTCTAGCACAATCGTTCGGCGCTTCTACAATCAATCCAGATCACTCAGCGGTTAAATCTCGATGCTGAATGGTTGCTAGCCTTATTCTCATAGTATCATGAAACGCCATGTACAACAATAGATGTTATTCAAACCTACGCCGTACAGCATGCGAAATAAGCGCCTTGAGCAAATCTGTGATAATGCTGGTGCTCCCATGGCATCGATAGCATATTTTGCGCCTCGCACATTACCCTCAACTGCGTTGAAATCACCATCACGTCCTCAATGAGAGGTCTACTTGTCTTTTCCTTCCTTCTCCTTTTCCAATATGTTCCAATGGCTGGGGCTGAGGATGGGCCTTGTGATCCAGACGTTGATCCATTGAATTGTTTCCTGAACCCGCCTGCCGCGATAGGGAAGCCTCGAGACTATGAAAATAACTCGAGGTATTATCGCGGGTCGATTCTTCAGATTATATACTATAATACTATGAATTACTCCTACGACATCATCATTTATCAGGAGGGAACACCACAAGGGGATACCATATTTCGTATGTCAAGTTGGTGAGATTGTCTATGACAAAGCTGACTTCAAAAGAAAATATCGAGGACCAAGGCACAATCCGGAAGAACTGGAAGGTTGACACTCAAGAAGACCTCGCCAGGGGCAATGTATTTTTCTTCAGCGTCCTCAAGCGCGACGGGAGCGGCAATCTTGTTAATTCAGCATATTTCAACATTTCGGAGCCAGACCCCGAGACCGCAGTTTCAAGTACGGTCTTGACCTCCACTATGCAGAGCAATATGGCAACCGAAGCACCACAGACCCTGAGCCTCAATACTCAACCCACCACAATTACCTCGACAACAATATCCCGACCGGCAACTACGTCGAGCTTGCCCCTTCTATCAAGCCAACCTGTCCTAGCGACCGCGACGAAAGTTGGCATGGGCGTTGGTCTAGGTTTAGGGGTGCCTCTGATGGGACTGCTGGGCGTGGGCATCTTCTATATGGGCCGTAGGTCGAAACGTCGTGCTAGGGAGACTCAGAATACGTACCAACAGGGATATGGGTATCCGCCAGTATATCATGAAAGTCGGAGGACACAATATCATAGTGCGTGGGAGATGCCAGCAGAGGTACCAATCTCGGAGGCACCACCTAAGAGGTATACCATTCAGGAGTTGGAGCATGTCGAATGAGTCGTGGGGTAGTTGTCTGAATAAAGCTTTGACTTCTTGGATCTAGAGTGGCGAGTCTCGTAAGAGATAGCATGGTTGTTCTTCCACCTATATCCCATCAGCTAAATGTTTGGAGCAACATGGGAAGTGCTGTACTAATAGTACTAAATCTCAGAATTATGGCCCGGGCCCGCATGAACGAATAAGAGCATTCAGATATGCTTGCATTGATCTACTCTATAACTGTTAGTGACTTACTAGGTGTAGCGGAGAAGAAATGTCGACAAGGGCCAGTTTCGTCTTTTAGCACCCGTGCACGCGTGTTCTCAACCCAATCTTCCTAAATAGAGCTTTTTCTACTTCTATATCTAAACCTTAGTATATAAGAGAATTAAAAGGAGATATAATAGATAGTTATATATATTCATATCTATCTATAAGTTTCTCTTATCTAACTAAAAACTCTTTAAAAGGGATAGAAGAGAATCTTTTAATATTCTTAGAAGTTATTAGAAGAGAGCCCGTATAAAAACTATAATTACTAGGTTCTAGGAAAACCACCTTCTTCCTCTTTTTTAAGAAATTAAACCCTCTTATTATAGAGTAGATTAGAGAGTATAGAGCTTAAGAAGTGTATAGAATTTATTACCTTACTCTAAGTCTATATTAATATTTTAATAAGTAGACTCTTATATAGAGGTAGAGAGTAAAATAGCTACCTTATTACGATGTGTGAATACATGCGTGAAAATGAAAAATGCCAAGAGAGTCATGTTCTAGGCAAACGACGAATTGTCCGTCAACCTGATCGGGTCGGATCAGCCCCCGACCTGACTTAGCGCGCGCTTCTCGACCAACAAACCTGTAGCCTTAGGCTTGTTACCTGTGTGCATAAACATCCTCAATCAAACTGCAGCCATTCAGAAGCTTCTCAGCCTGACAGGCTTTCCCCTCATCTTCACCTCTCTTATGGGGACTGTCATCTTCTACTATGTCACGCGTCTTCACTCACAATTTTAGGCGAATTGCACCTCTTTGTCTCACAGTAATATCTCTATACTACTTATACGTGCATGTCCCCACCGGCGAAATAATCCACGATAAAACGATACTGTATCTCCCAACGTCGACATGCGACATCACGCCATCGTTGCAGGAGGTCTTTGTGATGGTCAAGACGGGTGCCTGTGAAGACTATGAAAGACTGATCACTCAAAGCAAGACGTCGCTCCAATGCGTCCCATCGAGTTCGATAGCCTACTACTCGGATCTAGAAGAACAAGTTGGAAGCATACATTTACGCGACACATTCAATGGATCAGTGGATCAATGGTATATCGATACTGATGACGAGTTCATTCTGTACAAGAAAATGCTGGAGCAAGGAAGCTGCAAAGGCATCACGAAAGAGGATATGCAAGCTGCGGACCCTCGCAAAGGCCTCAACGGCAACAATGACAACAGAGGCTGGAACTTGGACAAATGGAAGTTTCTACCAATGGCAGATATCACTTACTCATTGCAATCAAACAAGAAGTGGTATATCGAAATCGAGGTTGACACCTATCCAATCTGGCGCAACGTGTTTAATTTCCTTGCCAACTTGGACCACGAACATGATTACTATATTGGATCGCCAATGTTCGTTGCTGGCGTAGCATTCATATATGGGGGCAGCGGAGCGATCATATCGCAATCTGCCATGCGCAAAGTAGTTGATCACATCCGCGAGAACACAACAGACCTCCAGAAGTTTACGCACGACAATTGGGCTGGCGACCATGTCATGGGGAAGACTCTGAAGGATGTCGGCGTTGGACATACAACCATGTCTCGCGAGTTTGTGAGAGACAGTACTATTGGTGCGGATTATTCATTTCACTGGTGCACTGCAGCCCTCTCGTTCCACCATGTGACTGCAGAGGAGGCAGTAGCCTTTCACGAATTTGAAACCCAGTGGTTTGGCAAGGTAGGCTCACGGTATAATCTTCAAAGTTACAGACTACAGAGTACTGACTTTGTACCAGTTCTCAACGCAAATAATGCGACACAAGGACATATTTCATGGATATATCTTGCCGCAGCTCGAAGGTCTCTCTACCGAGATAGATTGGGATAACAACGCACGGGACGATGCCAGCAACCATCCGCATTTCAATAGCACCTTCGAATCTTGCAAAGAGATCTGTCTCGCCGCCTCAGATTGCGTTCAATATCGATTCGCGTATGGCAAATGCTACACTACCAAGTTCCCTCAAATTGGCCGGAGAGAACCTTATAGCCGATCTGGATGGCTTCCAGATAGAGCGAGGAAGTGGGCAGATGATCACAAGCCATGTACTCGCAATGATGAGGAGTGGAGTCCTCACAACCAATAGCTTCACCGACGTCGCAAGCCTATTCACACAAGACAGGGCTCAGACATGAACTCATATGACAGAGAACGATATAGCACCAAGAGGATCTATCCTGGCTGAGGGCTGGTCTGCCCTATGAATATGGAAGTATACCTGGGTCGCCAAACATTGGCCGGACACCATGGATCTTTCACAAAACGGCACTGATTATAATCGACTACCCCTGCATATGGAAGTCCACGGTCTCAGCGGTATCAGTAACACGACGAAGATATCTCTAGAGACGGGGAAATTAGTGACTTTGGTGAAGACCCTGTCTATACGTGTTTCACCTTCACGGGGAACAGCGGTGAACAAACGTGGAACTGTATGATCTGCTAGCGGATGGAACGTCCAGCTCTTTAATTGATCAGTCTCTGTGCCTACCAGGGAAGTTTCTGGAGTTCCACCACTCATACCTGTCCCTAACATGTCCGTTAGTGTCGATACTCCATCTTCCATGTATCCATATCCATTCAGACCCGATGGCATTGTTGCCATTAGCGGTTACTCTTTCGTGCACAGCTTCAGCCACCCCCTAGACTTCTCTTAAGTCCTTGTTGGAGTTTATGCGTTCTATGGTCCCGATTTTGAACCGGAGAGGCAATGATTGTGCTTCCGTCGAAATTCGCGCATGGGGTAGTCGGTATTTTTAGAGCGAGGTACATAAAGGTGAAAACATATCGCGGTACACATGGTGGAACCGGAGACGAACGAATGCATTCGATGCTAGACAGGCAACGGAACTGATTTGCGTGCCATGCGTAAGTCCATGACAGTTCTATTGTGTATGGAGTATCTTAGAAACTGTCGGCCCGAGCAACATGTCTTACCACATTCGCACCAAGTATCACCGGATGGCTTTGCGTATATAGAAACTACATGCTTGAAGAGAACTACGAAGACAGAAAGACGGGAAGACATGACGACTGGTTGTGGAATTGACGACTTTTAACCATGTTGTGTCCTAGGGATGATATGGTTACTTGTGGAGCAAATGTTGTGTTGAGACTTATGTTGCGAACTTGATGCAGGACTCGCATAATGCTGTAGCATGTAGTGTATATGATTGACAAGTGTCACAACGCCAGCGCCATCACTTCACATACGTTGCCACGCTACTATACAACTCTGTCATGACGACGCTGCATGACATTAGAGAGCCGCACAGACAAGTAACAAGAATAATAGCTTGATCAGACCGCCCTTCTTCTGGCGCTGCTCAGCCTCCCTTTCCACATGTTCCGTGTCAGGCCCTACTACCACGCTCTTCTCCAACCCTCCGATCGTTACTGTGAGAGACTACCGCGCGCTGTTCCGCGTCGCACGTTGCTGCATCATTGCACAAGTGAAGTTGGTGAGGTGTGTGAGTGTTGTGTCTGTCCGCTTAGGGAGATTGAAGGCGATGGGTCCATCAGCACGTTCTAGTGGGGGTCAGAGTGGTGATGAGGGAGTATGTTATTACCGTACTGACCTATATACCAGCCTTGCGCATGGAACGCGCTTAGGGCAATATATGCAATGCCATGCTTCGATTCAATCGTCGCTCGCACGACTGGATAGAGACCCTTCAGGTCGTAGTCTATATCGTCGTCCGGCCATAGGATGACATATGACCCTTTTACGCCAAGAGCAACCTGTCTAGGTCGTTGTCCCTGTAGTCTAGACCGGGCATCGAGGAGCTTTTCGATTTGATATGGAAGACCATGCGAGATGGTGCTATGGGATGATGTTGCATAGTAGGAGTCCTTCTCGCCGAATGTAACCACTGTTTGATGACCTATGGCGTCCATGGTGAGCGGGAGGGTTGATGTCCATTCTGACCACTTCATTTGCGACTCGGACTCTGCCTACACGTAAACACTTGCAATGATCGTGAGAGGAGAAAAGAGATGGCGTACGTTTCGCTTTGTGCGTTTTGACCGAGTATGTGCCGTCAGCATACGACCATGATGGCGAGCCGCTGTAGTCTAATCCGGCGATGAAGTAGCGACGGTTTCGGCCAAAAGATAGAGCCAAAGGAATGGCAATGTCTGCATCTTTCAGACCAGTAGGAGCAGAACTGTGGAGAGATGAGCGCGAGTGGTTTCGAAAAGGATTGTGTATATGTACTAGAGAGAATGAGTCCAGCAGGAGAAGTAGTAAAAGTAATCTGGACCGAACGCGAAAGTAGCAGTCGCAGCCTTGAATCTTGCATAAGGCCTTTCAGATTTCGTTATCATGCTATGTAGATATTCAACTATACTGCTGCCTGTGCCTTTCAGGTGCGATATATCGGTAGTGTCATGTACAGTCTTGGCATTGTCAGCCTTCTCTACGGCGTCGTAGGCGGGCGGATGTGCACCGCTCTCCTCATCTAGTATGCTCTCATCTGTGGCACTGTCAGAGTCCATGAGCTCTGTGGTCAACCTGTTCGGTGTATACGAATGAATTGTGTAGCGACAGAGACTCAGGAACTGACCACGCTTAGATGACCATGTCCTCCGTGGTGGTACAGCTGACGGCAGAAAGCTGGGTTGCCTACCTAATTACCTAGTACCACTGCCACCACCTTCTTGCTACGACCCACTTTATTGACCGGAACGCTGAGCTTGGTGATTGGTCTATGGCTGAGGCAGCACATCAGGCTTTCATCCCGCCCCGTTCTTCTCAGAAGCAATATCTACGAGGTTTGAGCATGGTTATGTTCCAAGGCGTCGAGTTTTGGCAACAAAGATAATATGTACGAGCCATGCGGATCGAGACCCAAGTTCTGTGATCTAGCGTTCGAGTTCATGTGTTCGATCTATTGCATGGGTAGGCAACCGGGGGAAGTGGACGGTGTGTATGGGGAACCAGGAACACAACAGACCGAGAAATGGATGGCGTCTATGGCCGTGTTTATCTCGGCACTTAATTGAACTAAGCACAGGGCAGTGGACCCTAAGCACCAGGCGCACTACACTTGGACGAGCTTAAAGCTCGCAACGCCTCGGCACGTCCGCAGTGTGCAGGGAGCACGTGCCAGGCGTTCCTTATTTCACGATAAATGGAGCAACAGAGTAAGCCATCAGCAGGAGGTACTATAGGTACTCTAGTATCATGTAACTACATAGTACTTCTTCGAGGCAGCGTGTCGACTTCTGTAACGTACCGGACCGCCAAGTCTATCTTCGTCTTGCTTCTCGTGTTCTCGCAAAGCTCCGTATCAGCACTCACACTCCAAAGTGGTTACGCACTTTTCAAAACGAGCCTTGCGCGTGGAGAAGTATTGGGATCGCCGTCCCGCTCCCATGTTACGAGCCGTCGCTTCTCAGCCCTGTATATTCCTGTTCCCCGGAGACCAGGCTGTATTGAAGCTGAGACGCCCTGAATTGGAAAGCTGATAGTATATGTACATACTAACGACAGCATTACCTTACTCCGGAACCGAGATTTTCTCGGAAGTGACCAGGAAGTACAATCAACAAATGACGTGTCTGGTTCTGGTTCGATGTCGTACTCGGATACATCATACAGTGACCTGCGCCTGCACTTGTCCAAGGTTTGCCGCTGCGGGCACGTCGATCACTAGGTATCCTGGTCCTGATCCATACTGCCGTGGGCGTGTTGACATTAGCTGCAGCTGCACCTGTTACTAATGCTGCAGATATGAGAAATGAGCTTGCGGGGTGCCGCGGAATATGAATGAATGAACAAGATGAATTCTAGCTATGGTTATGTCGTGGCATTGCGAGGCGGACAAGCTCCGGCACATGTTTGTACCTGGGTCTCGGCCTGCTCTTGTTTTTCATAATCTGAATGAGGAAGGTCACTCGCTTACTGCAGCAGTTCTCCCTCCAGGCTCAGTGTTTGGGCACGTCCGAGACATAATCTAATCATGGGAGCTTGCTGATAGTCTATCGTTCCACTATGCGACAGCATACGACCAACATACGACCAGCATAGCATATGAGACTGGGTCAGGTTCTAGTATCAGCTACTATTTCACCGCCCCATCGGATCGCTGAGAGACAAAATGCGAATGTGCGACGTAGATCGTGTCATGCTCCAAGTTTATTCGCTGTTAACATGGGATATGATATAGAGACAACGTACGAAATCTAATAATGTCTGTCTGGAATGATGTATTATTTTTAAATGCTTTTACATGGCCATCTGGAACAGAGGCTTGGTGTTCAAAATATCACAACATGGATGGAGTCGAATGTGTATAGGTCATCTCGGATACGAACATTCTTCAGGTTTCATTGGACCGCTGCGTTAAGTCATTGCCGTGCCTGCCTCTATTTTCCGACCTTGGAAGCGATGAAGTTTACAACGTCGCCATTGTACTTTGTCATATAGCTATGGTGGCCCTGGTTTCCGTTGTTTGGCATGTAGCTGCAGCATTGCTCATCGTAATAATCGCAATAGCTGCGCATGGCTTTAGCGAAGGGCGCGCATCCCAAGTTCACAAAGCGGGGGAGGTACTATGGGGAAATTATCAGTCTTAGCCGCAGTATAAGGAGTTTGAAGCTGTCGCAGAACGCCAACAATTTGCAATTGAGAACAAGACAGAGGTCGGGTGGAAGAGACAAAGAGTTAGACTTACACCAACGCCGTTGGTACAATTGCCGACGTTCCAAGGCTGGTTTGGGGCATGTGTTTCGTCTCCATATGCGACAATCGCGGCCACTGCGCTTTGTTAGAATATCTCCAGGCGAGAAGAAGTATAGACACTTACCATTCTTGTTGTATTTCGAGTCCATTGCTGTTATTGGAATCGTGCCAATCTGCCCGGTTCCACAGATGGCGTCCATAACGGCAACTGCTCCCTGGAAGAAGAAGGTTGCGTCAAAATCAACTACGTTACATGATCGTGGGTACTGGAAAGACTGGACGGGTCTCAGCTTACCAAGGAGTAGCCCATGAGCGAGATCTTAGAGTCGGGGCAGCTGGCAGCATAATCGGCAACGTATTGCTGGAGCATTGCAGAACCATTGTGCGCAGCAGCGAGTTTGTTCGAGTTTGTGAAGTCGTACCTCAGGCCGAGCACTGTCGAACCTGGAAGACGGCGGTACAAGTCGTCGGATAATTGATACAATACATTCAATGGCGATGGGTCACCATCATCTGCTAAGCTCTCGCCTCTTAAGAAAATGCCATGAACGGCGCCGGCCGGGGCACACTTCGCTGCAGCGGTCTGCTGTGCGACTGAAGGCACGCTTAGGAGGCCGAGGGCAATGGTGATGGTGCTCGCAACGGAGAACATTTTGAATGGCGGTGGCAGGGTGCAATCAGAGAGCAATCAGGGACCTGTGGAGCAGACGTGAAAATGGCGTTGAACTGTCAGTGTGCGGTGATAGCAATACTGTAGATTTAGGTATTAGATTGTAGGCATTAGATTTTCCTGATTCTAGTAATTAACCCATGCGCGACTGTCACCGGTGCTCACTTCGAAGCCCCATAATTATTAACGCATAATAGTGCCGATCTAGGTGATGGAGGTGGCGTGCTCTAAGTCACGCCCAAAGGCAAAAGCAGTGTGATTACCTATGGACCACGGCAGAAGCCATGATAAGACAGACTCGGCGTACTGCAAAGATGCAGACCCTGAGGCTTGAGGCAGTGCAATGGGGTTTGCAGATGCCAGACATACGGAGAGCATCTTGAACGAACCATTATAATGTCAATGAGTGAACGCGATTTTGTCTTGAACGATACCGCCCAGAGTCAATTGGCCTCGGTCGAGCGAGCGGTCGGCACTATTGCTCTCATCATTAGAAGAACCTGAACCTGATGGTGCAGGAGGCCGCCGGCGACGAAGACACAGAGCAAGCTATAGGGCGCACGCTAAGCAGCCTATTAGCGGAACTGCACATATCTCGTTCTCCTTATTTCAAGATATCCTTTGCCTGCCATTCCATCTCAGTGCCCCTCGCTGCTTCTCCCATTCACCTTGCCTATGTCATGTGGAGAAGTGGTCATGCCACTTTGGCGCAACCATGGATCAAGCCTCTTCGTATTTCTCTCAAATCCCCTTTTCCCCTTCCCCCGATTTCTCCAGTTCTCCAATTTTCCTTTTCTTCTTTTCGCCTAGATAGCAGTGCTGGAACCTATGATGATAAGGAGTTCGTGATTTGCCACATTTTGTCTGTTCCTCGAGTCGGCGGATCCTCTGATTGGCAGCCTCCGATGAGCATTCAAGCCACATTTAGTATCAACAGCACCAGATCGGCATTCAAGGCGTCCGGGTTCTCGTTTCCGTGGAGAGGTGCTCCTCGGCATCCCGAAGGCCCGGATACACACATGGGAGTCACAGCGGTCAGACGGGCACAAGCAATAGGGGTACTACGCAGTGCCTCCCAGGGCCACTGCCAAGGATGCGGCGTTCACAAGGAGACTCGCGGCAGTAGCAGATAGACTCCGATGCCAGGATGATAGATGCGTAAGGCCCAGTCGATTGAGATCTTAGATGCTGCATCTGCAGCACCAAATAGTGGTCAACAAAAAGACATGAGCTCTCGATTCTGGAAAGATGAGACATCGAACGATCAGGACAAAGTTAGACATTGTATATTGCATATTACTGCCATGCAGATGGTTTGATAAATGAATGTAAAATCGATAGACCAAGTTCGATATTCGCAGCATCAGTACAAGGAACGCTCCTTGTTCGTTTGTTGTTATTCGAACCTTGGGGATCCACGTCCAAGGGCCCCACCGCACAGACTCCGAGAAACTCCACTATGCCATATCCATACTTGGCGCTCTTACCCTTGCAGGTTATCAAGGGTGTATCCCTTCACCCTCCCTGTACCTGCACCTGCACTTACCTGCTTGCGCTTACTTGCGCTTGCGCTTGCAATTACTTGCAACCCGAGGTCAGCCCATTCGTCCTCGCTCTACTAGCTCTCCTCCACAGATGATCCATCTCTGACATTCTCTATCATTTCTCGCACCGCGTCGGCCAGCTCGTGTATCACCATACCACCTCTAGGGATAGTATGGCCCTTGCCTGTATCGAAGAGCTTGGCAGTGTTGTCGTCACAGAGATTATACAGCGCTACCGCCCCGTTCTTGTATGGATCTGCTCTAAATTAGCTTCCGCATGGTAAACACGAAGCAGAGCTTACCGTTTGCGCCAATGACGTGCAACGATGGGATATCAATCCGAAAATCACTTTCGTCGCTGAGTACCGGCATCGAGTCTGCCCCTAAAGGCGGCCAGCCCGTAAAAAAGATGGCGCATTTAATTCGCCTCTGTCGTCCGCTTTCGACATGTCTTCTTATCTCGTCCATAATCAGCGTCGATCCCAGACACGAGCCTTCACTGTAGCCAACGATGCCCTCGATCTCTGGGTCGTCTTCTAGGACTCGATGAAGCAGTTCCAGTACTGATCGTGTGCTGTCGATGATAATGTCGTTTGTGTCCGCGTCTCTGCCACCAAGGAGGAGTTTTCTCATGACATCCTCAGGAGTGTCTCCCGTGGGCAGACTTCGGATACGTTCGAGTAGTCCTAGTGCTCCAAGTCCACCATCGGTCAACCATCGGTAATGAGGACCAATCCCGAAGTATGTTTCGAAGCCCTAGTGTAATGCATGTGAGTTTACGTTTCTTGGCAGGGCTCTAGTTGGGGCTTCGACATCTCTTACATGTGGTGGGTCAACCTCTACAGGTGCGTTCATGTAACGAAACGATGCAGCGTGATCCTGCGCTAAATCTTTTTCTAGCGGTGCTGTTGGGCGTCAGACTTGTGTCTTCTCGAACTCGATACAACACTGATTACCGAGCTGGATACTGAAGTTCTTTTGATGTTATGTTAGCATACCTATCGCACGATATAGGATTCTTGATTCCAAAACCTACGTCCGTATTGCCAATGGATCCATGAAGACAGAGGAACTTCATTCTTGATCACCTCTGATAGCACGTATGACTCTGATACATGTGTCGCTTGAAGGTTTAAACTTGTCGGGGTGACTCGATGATTAAAATATCTTCTGCCGCCTTCATATAAAACCTTGTATGTGTTGTCCCCCCCTCCCCCCTCCACTGCCTGGTAACGCTACTCTGGGAATTGGTCCGGGCTTGCCAGACCTTGCCACGACGCCTGTCCACTTCGGGTACTCCATCTACTATCTTTTGCCTAGGATCTTGTTTGTCGATCACTACTTAGCTTCATGGATAAAGCTATCCATACCCCTTGTGGTGCCCTCGGAGCTTCACATGTGTCCGTACACTTCTCATCATTCTTTGCTCTTGATATAGTTGAATTAACATTTATTGGCATATCTTCATGTTGGTTGAGTAACACTGTAACCATTCCCTGCGTTCATCGCACCCTCTCCCAATCGTCCCATCACAATGGCAACCAAGATCGCCGTCATTGGTTACGCATGTCGTCTACCTGGCCAAGTGTCAACGCCAGAGGATCTCTGGGAGCTTTGCACTCGTGGCCGGAGTGGGTGGTCTGAAATACCGAAAGATCGAATGAGTGTGGATGCCTTCCATCACCCGAATCCCTCCAAGGCCGGCGCGTTCAATCCTAAAGGTGGCTACTTTCTCAAGCCAGAAGACTATGAGCGCTTTGACGCGTCTTTCTTCAACCTCACACCAGCCGAAGCAATTTCACTGGATCCACAGCAGCGACTTCTTCTAGAATGCACGTTCGAGGCGCTCGAGAGCGCTGGCATTCCTCGAGAGCAGATTGCTGGACGTGATGTGGGCGTTTACATTGGGGGTAATTTTTCAGATTATGAATTAAGAAATGTGCGAGACTTGGAAACCTCTCCCATGCATCAGGCCACTGGTTGTGCTCCAGCAATGCAGTCGAATCGCATATCTTACTTCTTTGACCTTCGAGGCCCAAGTTTGACAATCGACACCGCATGTTCGGGAAGTCTCGTCGCACTGCATCATGCCGTACGAAGTATACAATCCGGGGAAACCACTGAGGCCATCGTTGGTGGATCTCGTATGAACCTTCTTCCAGATTACTTCGTCACAATGTCCATGTCTCAGCTCTTCAATGACACTGGGAAGACATTTGCTTTCGATGAACGTGCAAACTCCGGGTTTGCGCGGGGTGAGGGTGCTGGTGTGGTTCTCCTGAAACCACTCGACGCAGCGATCCGAGATCGTGACCCGATTCGCGCCGTCATCTGTGGTACTGGAGCCAACCAAGATGGTAGAACGCAAGGAATCACGAATCCAAATGGAGATGCGCAACGGGACCTCATCAAAAGAGTGTATCAGGAAGCTGGGCTAGACCCAAAGCTCGTTGGGTTTGCCGAAATGCATGGTACTGGTACTAAAGTCGGAGATCCAATCGAGGCACGCTCTGTGCACGAGGCACTGGCAATACACCGATCACCGCAGGATCCGCTCTACATCGGCAGGTAAGTAAATCTAAGTTTTCTCCGAGACCAATACTGACCCTAGGACCCTGTAGTGCCAAATCAAACGTTGGACATCTGGAGGGTGCAAGTGGCATCGTCTCACTCATCAAAGCAGCTATGATGCTGGACAAGGAGCTGGTTCTACCTAATACGAACTTTCGCAAAGCAAACCCTGCCATACCCATGCAGGATTGGAACATGAAAGTTCTCACATCGACCAGGCCATGGCCACGTGGTAAGAAGTACGTTTCCATCTCGAACTATGGGTTTGGAGGAGCAAATGCCCATGCTGTGTTGGAACGTCCACCTTTGGACCGGAACGACAAGCCGCAAGTCGATGCAGATTCAATACCGGACCCAAGGACAAAGCTTTTCACCATATCTGCAAACGACAAAGAGTCATTACAAGCTCGTGTTAAGGACCTGGGGGTTTACTTTGAGCAACGTCCGGAAGTGTTTGAGAAGATGCACGCATCGAATGTTGCCTACACATTGGGCTCAAAACGATCCCATCTAGCTTATCGTCTCGCCGTTTCTGCCAACTCTTTGGACGAGCTCGGGATGAAGCTTGCACAAGTTAGACTTACATCCTCGAAGGTGCTCAAACAGCCAGTCATCGGCTTTGTATTCACCGGTCAGGGCGCTCAGTGGGCACAGATGGGCGTAGGCCTTATGAATATATATCCAGCATACTCTGCAGCCATTACAAGAGCTGACAGATACCTCAAGCAGATCGGTGCAGATTTTTCGCTCATAGAAGAACTGCAGAAATCTCCTCAGTCCTCTCGTATCAATTCACCGGACCTCAGTCAGCCCGCTTGCACTGCTGTTCAGATAGGACTCGTCGACCTGTTCAAGTCCTGGGGTATTTGTCCTTCGACAGTTGTAGGCCACAGCTCAGGGGAAATTGGTGCTGCGTATGCTGCTGGCGCTTATAGCGCTGACGACGCCATGGCCATGGCGTACCAGCGCGGCATGATGACTTTGAAACTCAAGAAGATGTTTCCGTCATTGAAGGGTGGGATGATCGCCATCGGTGCGAGCGCCCAAAAAACGAAAGCATATATTGACAAAATCAAAAAGGCTTATTTGACAATTGCATGCATCAATAGCCCTACTAGTGTGACCGTCTCAGGGGATGCTACTGCGATTTCACAGCTTCATGACCTCTTGGACGAGGACAGTGTCTTCAACAGAATCCTCAAAATCGACGTTGCTTATCACTCAGAACATATGGCTCGCGTATCTGAACAATACCTCGCAGCCATAGCAGACCGGGTACCAGCGAACTCTTTGACGGCCAAATTCTACTCCTCTGTCCATGGTCGTGAGGTGGAGGCTTCCGAGCTTGGTCCAGAGTACTGGGTCAGGAACCTTGTTTCTACGGTGCTATTTCCCAACGCATTAATACCCATGTGTACGGGGGATAGCAAGCCAGATATACTGATCGAAATGGGTCCTCACTCCGCACTAAAAGGCCCAATTAAAGATACTTTGAAGAGTCTTGGCCCTTCCAGCGTTAAGATTGAGTACTCTGCAAGTGTTCTTCGAAACACTAGCGCCGTAGAGTCTGTTCAGGATGCTGCGGGTGCTGCGTACGTCAAGGGCGCGGTCCTCGACATGTATGCAATCAACTTTCCCAGCACAGGGGCAAAGTACAATTCGCTCCTGACCGACCTCCCTCGCTACCCATGGCAGCGCTCAACGTCGTATTGGCACGAATCTAGAATTCCAGACAAACACAAGTCAAGAAGTGGAAAGCGGAATGACGTACTCGGCGTTCTCGCCAACTATTCGAATGATCTAGAGCCAACGTGGAGAAACATTATTAGGTTGGACGATGTGCCCTGGTTACGACATCACAAGATGCAGGGAATGCCCGTATTTCCCATGGCTGGCTATCTATCCATGGCCGTCGAAGCAGCCCAACAACGAGCAGATGACCGTAAAGTGGCATTTGACACCTTCGAGTTACGCGAGGTAGTTGTCGGCTCAGCTTTAATATTTCAGGATGGGGTGGACACGGAGGTCACAATAACGCTTCGCCCGTTCAGTGACGCCTCAAGGGGGCAATCGGACACATGGGACGAATTCAAGATCTGCTCATACGAATCGAAGCGCGGGTGGGCCCAACACTGCCGAGGACTTGTCCGGGTAAATGACTCCGAGAAACACAAAGATCGAACGGTCGCTGTCGACGCCTCGATGCATGAGGCAGCGGCAAGGAGCCAATTCGATCACGCAGCTGCTTTGGCAACAAAACCTGTCGACGAAGACGCTATGTACGCCAGAATTGACGCAGTAGGAGCTGGTTACGGTAGCACTTTCCAAGGCCTGCGTCAATGCTACACAGGGGCCCACCACAGTCGTGGTAACATCTTTGTACGAGATACTCGAAGCATAATGCCCAAAGAACACGAGCCTACCCTCATCATTCACCCATCTCTGCTCGATATTTTCCTACACCTCACTTGGCCTATCCTCGGTGCTGCAGGAGACAATTTCGAGACCCTATACATGCCCACAGTAGTGCAATCAGTCAAGATTGGCCGTGATGTAGTGCACATTCCAGGAGAGTACTTATCTGTTTGGTGCGCTGGAGACCCAGATCTCTCCAATCCCAAGCCGACTACATTCGAAATTTGTGCAGCTAGAGCAGGCGATCTTGGAAACCCAGTGATCAAATTCGACGGATTTGTTATGACGCCAATCAGGGACTCTGGTGCAGCTGATAAGTCTCTCGTGAGAAAACTTTGCTATAAGCTCGTCGAGCAGCCCTTTATAGCCCCGATTCCAATCAGTCAGAAGAGTGAGATGAATGGTCAACACCATAATGGCATCAATGGACACGTATATAGCAATGGCCACGCGAATAGCGTCAACGGTAATATCTCTGATGATGAGCTAGCAGACAGCGGTATCGGCACGCCGATTGAACAACCAAATATCCTCATCCTCCAGATTGGTGAAAACGACAAGCTTGCTGAGGATCTAGCCGGCGCCATCAACTTCTCGACTGGTTCGCGACCTCCGATTCGGACTGTCGGCAAGACGTACTGCTCCAATAAGCGCCTTGTCATCCTTGAAACGGCCACGAAGTCACTACGCACGATCGAGCAAGCTGAGTTTGATAGCCTTAAGCAAGCTCTATTAACTGCTAAGGACGTACTGTGGGTTTACTCTCGCGACTTTCCAGAGTCGAGCATGAGTGTCGGTATGCTCCGCTCGATTCGCTCGGAAAATTCGCATAGAATCGCGATACTGGGTGTTGAAGACATTGAGTTAAAGTCGAACTGGCCTTCCAGGTCGATCATGCGAACTCTGGATGCCCTGTGGTTCGCCGAGTATGAAAAACCCGTGGAAGATCTAGAGTTCGTGGCTAAAGATGGCGCACTATTCGTGCAACGAGTCGAGGAAGACAATCTTATGAATCAATTCGTCAGTAACGAGAATGGCGCTACCATTCTTGAAAAGCAGTCGTTTGAACAAGCGGATAGAAGACTGAAGATGCAGATCGGTAGCTATGGGGCTCTTGATAGTATCCACTGGGTGGACGACATTCCTGTTGCCCTTGGGGATGGCGACGTCGAAATCGAAGTTAAAGCTTCTGGTGTCAACTTCAAGGATATCGTGGTCTGTATGGGACAGCTCAGTCAACCGTACATCGGCGTCGAGTGCAGTGGTATCATTTCTGCAGTTGGCAAGAACGTGACCAGCGTCAGGATCGGACAGAGAGTCATGGCTCAAGTCGAAGGCGCATATTCAACCTACGCACGCTGCCCTGCGACGAGTGTTCATCCTATCCATGAAGGCATGACTTTTGAACAAGCAGCGACTATACCGGTCGTATTCTGCACGGCATACTATGCACTGTTCGACCTCGGCCGGCTACAAAGAGGTGAGAAAGTGTTGATACACGCTGGCGCTGGCGGTGTAGGGCAGTCTGCTATCATGCTTGCGAAAATGGTCGGCGCCGATATCTACACAACTGTGGGTAGCCGAGATAAGAAGAAATTCTTGATGGACCAGTATAATCTTCCCGAAGATCGCATCTTCTACAGCAGAGATACCTCCTTCGCAACAGACATTCGCAGGGCAACCGGCGGGTATGGTGTAGATGTTGTCTTGAACTCTTTGGCTGGTGACATCCTCCACGACACCTGGGGCCTACTCGCGCCCTTTGGTCGCTTTTGTGAGATTGGCAAGGCCGACATTACCAGGAATAGTCGCCTGGACATGATGAAGTTCGAGTATAACTGTTCTTTCAACTCAATCGATCTGACCAAGGTGGCATCTTACAAGCCTCAACTTATGCAACGTTTGCTCGCAGACGTCTGTGGTCTGATGAGCAAAGGAATTATCTCTCCCATATCGCCTGTCAAGATCTACTCTATTTGCGAAACTGAATTGGCTTTCAGAGCTTTGCAAAGTGGCAAAGCTATGGGTAAGCTTGTTGTCGTTCCTCATCCAACTGATACTATTCTTGTAAGTACCCTCTGATACTTCGTTTTCGTAGGTTCTCATCAGATCCAGGCGTCCAAACGAAAAGTTGGCGACAATATCCTCCATGCTGATGCTACGTATGTCATCATTGGCGGTACAGGTGGTCTCGGCCGTAGTCTCGCGAAGTGGATGTCGTCAAAAGGTGCCCGCAACATCGTCCTTACATCTCGAAGCGCAACTATCAACGCCCGGATCCAAGCCCTGATGGACGATCTCGAGCCAAGCGGAACAAGAATTCTGGTTCAAAAATGCGATGTAGCCGACAAGGCATCCCTCGAGAATCTCATATTCACAGGCCTCGGATCCCTCCCCCCTATTCGCGGCGTCGTTCATGGTGCTATGGTCCTTCGAGATACTCTCTACGAGCAAATGTCTCTTGCAGACTTTCACGCCGTAACAACTTGCAAAGTTGATGGCGCTCTTAATCTTGCCTCAATTCTCTCTTCCTCGCCCCTCGACTTCTTCATCGCCCTCTCCTCTATTGCCGGTGTTATTGGAAACCGCGGTCAGGCCGCCTATGCTGCCGCAAACGTCTTCTTGGATTCATTCATGGCGCACCGTCGAGCTCAGGGTCTGCCTGGTGTCTCCATTGATCTGACTGCCGTTTCCAACGTCGGTTACCTAGCCGATGGGAGCGCCGCGCGCCGAGAGGAAGTGCTCAAGAACATAGGCGGCTCAACAATCGATAAGGCAGAAGTGCTAGCCATTTTTTCGGCAGCTGTCACGGGTGAGATTACTCGTACATGCGCAGGACAATGCATCACCGGCCTAGCCACAAATGACTCTACAAGTTTTTGGCTCGAAGACAATAAATTCAAGTCTCTGCGCGAAGCCGTTCAACAGACTTCAGGGTCGGCTGGCTCATCAGGTGTTGCGGTCGCACTATGTAAAGTGCTGCGTACATCGGCAAGCAAAGACGATGCGAAGCAAGCATTCTACTCGGCACTCGCAGCCAAGTTGGGGGCTGTACTGGTGGTCCCTGAGGATGCGATCGAGCCGACGCACACATTGAAGAGTTTGGGCTTGGACAGCCTGGTTGCGATAGAGATCCGTAACTGGATTGGGCGAGAAACTGAAGTGAATGTGCAGGTCCTGGAGTTGTTGACGAGTGGAAGCATCATGAGTTTGGTGGAGCTGGTGTTGAAGAAGATGGGAATTTGAATTTGGACCATGCATATACAGACGGCGGGGATGGGTGGCCGGGATAATGCAGTGTTAAGTGTGGCGTTCGCAGCAGGGACCTTATATTTTTGTTTCAGCAGTCAGGAGTTCGGTTGCATACGCGCTACTAGGTATATACGGGTCATTGATGGTGTCACCGTTTATTGGATTTGGGTATCTTCGTTTCCGCATTCGCCCAGGCAGAGGGTGTGTACGATCTTATTTGAAGCAAAGGTCAGGCCGGGGCTTTGTCTTGTTCTCTACTTTTTTGCTGTTTGTAATACCATTGGCCCAAGGGCGTTGTACAGGCCTAAACTCTACTATCTGCCTGATGCTATTACTATATAAATTCGATTATATTTGAAGAGCCGTGTATCCACCCCAACCCACCTGTGGGAGAAAAAACCATGTGAATAACAGTGCTGAGCGTTCTAGCCCGACATCACGCACGCTTTCTGTTATCATCACAGTAACATATCTCCATTCTGTTCCACAGTTTGTATACGAATGGGCCACTTGATGGGTTATATAACCCTTACCCTCTTCGTTGCTAGCCTGCGTCGACCAGCATGTGTTCAGCGTGTCACACTGAAATGGCTTGCAGTACCGAATTTCTCATGCCGATGAGCGAGGAGCCGCGATGTTGGCCGCTCCAGGGTTCTGCCACTCCGATACTTCGATGTCACAAAATATGACTATTTGGTTGAAGGATGATATCGTTGTCACTCAATGCTGACTGTATCATGGATCCTGCCGCAGACATTAATAAGGAGGACTACTTCACTGACTATAGCGTTCTCTCACTTCTCAAAGCTAGTCCGCACATGTCGAATTAGGGACAAGAATGCGATGGTTCCTTGGTATAGAATGGGAAAGAGGATAGCAAGCAGACAATAGGAAGTTGACCCACTATAGCTATGACCATAATGGCCTGAGTTGAAATACTGGGCTACTTGGTTTTGACACCCCTAGCCCGCCCGTACTACGATTCACTCAGTCGTCCAAAATTCACATCCTCATAGCAAATCTCTGCAACTCTACTAGAACAATCGATAATAACAGACAGAACCATCAGCATACCTACATTGGTACCCATTCATAGCTTGTGGCATACACCTGCCTGCTACGACCAAGTCATCGAACCTTTGAAGAAAGTGCGTGGCTCCATATGCACTGCCATCAGCCTCATGTCTACACAAGGTGACCCAGACACGACTTTGAGGATGACATTCGTGCAACCTATCACTCAGTAAATGTTGGGATTGCATAAGTGCTCAGTGTGGTAGTCGTCGCTCGCTCGTACGGTGGTGTTGTTCGTAATAGTGTTGTCAAAGGACTGGCAGCGAGTCGCAAACCGAGCTGCACTATGACTTTGACCACCCATAGCCATGGCCATGTCATCGGCCAGATCCTCATCGCATCCGGCTTCGATTTTACTGGTCTTTCTTCTTTCATGGACTCAATACTTAGTATTCCACCACCTGCATAGCGCGTCACCAAAGCCACAAGATCTGCAGAACTTGAGAATTCACCATGTGACCTTTTTTACCACGATTCATCTGCCGAAGATGCGGAAGGTTGCACGATGCAGCGTCTCAACGCATTATTCGAAGGAGGTGAACATGCGCACACCGGTTGGAAGGATGCTCCTGTGTGGTACGTAGGCACGTCCGAACACCATGCCTTGTCGGTCGTAATGCAAAGAATCACGGTTGCAACGGCCAGAGGGATGGACGGTAACGTCGTTCACCGAGAGCGTAAGAGCAGTCATTCGCCATTTTTTTAAATATGCCTGATGATGTTGTGCATATCGTGCTGGATGCGGTGTGTGCCTTTACAGGACCAAAAGTCACTAGTACTACGGAGCAGCAGCGAGCGCAGTTGTATGTGAACCCCTCGTTGGAACTGTTCAACCCGGTGACAATGATACGTTTTGGATTGCCTATTGGATTCCGTAGGATCATAGGCTGGGTGGCGTTTAGTGTTATCCTTATGAAGAGATTCCTGAGATGAAGGTAGTTGTACATCGCAAGGGCTTTTGTTGTTTCCTTGATGATAAACAGATCTTATTGAACTCTCCTCTCATGCTAGGACCACTCTCTATTTCCTGGCTCTATTAATCTCAGTACTCTTATTAAGAGACTGATGCTTAGATTCCTCCAGAGTATGGCTTGCTCCAGGACTATTCTATATGGGTCTGGGAAGCTGTGTCAAATGCATTAAAGCAGATGCTTCTGCCCTCGGTCGTCAAATTAGTATGACTAACGAAGTCTGGGACCATACTGGTGAACAGTGTCAAAGATATGCGGGGTTGGTCGTGTCGACCATCAGGGCTGTATGATTGCATCGTCGGCCTCATAATGCTCTACATCTGCGGGCTCATAGGTATTTCTTTGCCGAAGCAGCGACTCGTGACCTGAAAACTGGGCTGCGAACAGGTGTGTCTACTCTCCAGAATGGGTTCATTATAGTCTTGACCCAGGAATCATACACATCGTTGAAAAAGTTCTTGATTGCCTCGTCTGTCGCAGCTGGTGTTGTACTCGTAGGGGCGTTACGGTTTGCTGTCAGAGAGGACGGATTTGAAGTGGTAGAAATGTTATTCGGTTGGTGGAGTAGGAGAAATTTGGCATTGGCAGCAGTGATGAAGGCAGATATTGTGCTTCCCGTTGGCGGGTACCGGTCTATGGTCTTTAGGTACCTGCGATGTCCATTGTAAGAAGAGGGCTATGGGGAAGGTCTGGAGAATCTCACATTTGGCCACCTGCCCATTGGACTTCTTCTAGGATATCCAGACTTGCATGCGCGACAAACTGGTTCATGTGACGAGTGTCTTCGCGGAATCGAGAGATGCCGTCTCCGCCTTGCCTGTATGTTCCGAATTCATGCTCGAATAATGGGTTGTCCTTGGTACCAATGATGACAAAGTAGTAAGACATTGCGATCTCAATGCGAGTAGCCAGTACGTGTCTGGGAGTCGTTGTCTTACGATGTCAATAAATAGGAATCAACTCCGCTTCCACGTTGGAGCTCACTTCGGTAGAAGGCGCTACTCCACAAGTAGCCTAGTATTGTGATCTAAGCTTCCAGGTTCCGACTAAGGACGTCGAGAAGCGATTTGATCATCTTTTGACGACATTAACCACATTACCGTAAACCTCATTTTGAGAATGTTCGGACCATTCAGAGCTACTCAATCGCTCAGTGTTGGTCTTCTCTGGTTCGGGGTTCCAAACCAACTACAATTTCGTCATCGCTAACACCCTTTCCGCAGGAAGATCCCCTGGCGACTCTCCCCAACCCAAAAAGCGCGACAACGTAAGCGCCTCCGAAGAGTAGACGATGTTGTTGCAACACTTGATCACGCATTGGCGAAGTTAAGAATGAGCACAAAGAAGCTTGAACGTTGGAAGGAGGAAATGCCGCGAGAAGAAGAGATGCTCCCAAAGGACAAATACACGGTGTTCGATCGGAAAGAGAAAAAGTACAGGAAAGCACTACACAGTACGTAATTCCATAAAGTGTAGTCAACCTCAGAGACGCTCTGACTGAAAGATGTCTAACGCTTCACGTAGAATTACCCAAGTGGACGAGAGTTTCGCAACGACTAAATCCACCTGGGTTTTAAATAATTCACTCGTGTATTATAACGTCTGAGTACTGTATCAAGAATCAAAGAGCAGGTGTACATATAATGGCACCGATGATATATATTACCTGTTTCAACGATACGAGTCTGCATAATCCGTTCGCATCTTGAGATGCAGGAAACTGCAAGGGTCGCCGTGCTGAAAGTATCGATCAAGTGTTTATCAACATGGAGATCTGCGAGAGCTTGGTAGCACTGCGGTGGGAAAGACCGGCTACGAGTCAAGGTTAACGGAAAGGCATGATGATCAAATCATTCCGAGAATCCATTTTTTAATTGTTGAATCGGACAGTTGGACTATTATTAGGCATTCGTCTGCCCAAGTAGCACCAGAGGAGTACTGAACATCGTTGCCACCAGAGTCAGCATGTTCCACAAGTCAGACAGAGTAGAGTATATCGAGGCTCGTGCATGCCATCGTCAACCGCACCTTCTCGCTATGGTGTAACGATCTCGGGGCTCTCGACCTAGGTACTCTAGGAGGTACTTTCCAAGCTAACGCATCGGATTTGTTACGTAGATCAGGGCTCGTATACTGCCAGTGAGTATTCTGAGCGCGGCATAAATTATCCTGCTGCACTACTTTTTATCCTCTTAGACCTATCCCAATCCCACTCCTACAGTTTGATCCTACATTCCGCTTATAGTACTTATTTCTTCAGCGTACCTGTTAGTGGCACAAACTAATTGCCGCTCGTCTACTTGCCCCGCTACCCAAAATTGATGACGGAGTATTGCGAAACTACTAGACCAAGCTCTCTCCTCTCGAAGGTCCGATATCAATTCAGAGTGGTGTGGTATCGTCAAGAAGTTACTTTGCCGTTCTACATGCTTGAATCATGGGAGCGCGGACTGGTTTATCTTACGCTCATATCGATCGCAAGCCTTCTAGGCTATACTGTGCGATCTTTCATACTACCTGTTCTTATCACTTGTGTTCGGACCATTCTTCTTGAAATGAATATGTCGACTGAGGCGACTAAGATGTCAATTTCTGAGCATCCAGGATGTGAATATGTCGAAGTCGTCAGAGATGCGGCTGCGCTTTTGCATTGTGAGCCTTGGGAACGTTTCGAGAACTCATCCTTGTCCTGGGTCATTTTCGACGTATGAGAACCTATTCCGACTTTATCAAACGGCCTTCCTTCTTCGAGTACGTAAAACAGATGCAGTTTTAAGGTTCTTTGGAGATAATTAGGACGCAGAACCCAAGACAAAAATCACATCAGCGTCGACAAATGTTCGAACTTACCGTAATCGCACTAAGAAACCACGGACCAACAGCGAAAAGTAATGATCTGCTGATTGTCGAATCGCCATATCTGTACGAGCTCATAGAAGCGTCGCTTGCACGAGATTAGAGCCGAAATCCACCACCAACGAGGCAACATTCCGATCCTTTGCGACCATGAGAACAGAGACGTACCGGGGCAGATGTGTTGATATGGCTAAAACTCGATAGATCTGTCAGCAGCCATTCAGATAGACGAATAAAGGGTCCTTTGCCGGGCGGTGAGTCTTTTGGTAAGCCATTGGAATCGTAGTGATCATCGTTTTGTGCTTGAATATACTTTGGCTAACACGCGCATTCGGAACAATATGGGTGCCGTTGATGTCTGATTAGCTCGTCATAATGGAGACTTTGTAGATCTTCATCCGTGCTGATCGGAGCTGCTTAGCAAATGTGAAACCCTGTTGGACCCTGGACCAGTCACAAATACTGCCGCACCCCAATCCTTGTCTTCAGTTTCGCTTTATGTCTTCACTCACCATCCATACTGGTCTCTTGCACATTATACCTTCTCGGTGTGTTAGCAGGTCCGATATCGAAAAGCTTGCTGACTTCGCTGCATGAAGTGTGAGATGCAATCCGTAATCCTGGCAAAGACGTACATCACTAATGATAAGTAGAAACGCCCTCGCTGACTGAATGAGACAAGGAGCGACCTGTGTCAGCATCAGACCATGACGCCGACCCCAAGCACACGTCAATTGGGTTTCCAAGACAATACAATTGGTAGGCGGAAGCTCGGAAGGGTTGCCGAGACCTATATATGGAGGCAATCATATTCACCAGGTACCTGGAAGGGACCGGACTGTTAAGATGGCTATACTTCTCAGGAATTCCAGCGTTGTACACCTCATCCAGGTCCTTTGCTACATGGATAGCAAAATACAATCGCACCACTATATCAGATCCTAAGCTGATTCCGTTGAGTTTTAAATATCTTGCATCCCGGTAGAAACCACCCGGAACAAAAAGTGCTGGACCAGAGAATCCGCCTATTATGGTAGGTTGTACATTTGCCATATAGGACAAAACACTGGCATTCCTGACGACCTGTGATGGAACCTGCGGATTGCCATCCTATCTTTCTGGAGAATGTTGTATCACAAGACAGTCTCATGAACGAATTCATAGCAGGACGCAACTTTTCCAGCCACTAGCTTTTTCTGGCGCAACAAGTCTGGCCACTCTCTCCTCGGACCTGTTCGCATGCCGATATTTTTAGGCCTTGGCAATAGGACCACAAAAACCACTCTCGGCGAAGAAATGTGTTGAAGTATTGAAACTTCCATATGAAACCTTTACACGTCCGGTGGCTTCCGCTGTGGTCCGGATGTTCCCAACTGGCAACGTGATCACGATCCATGGTTCAGCTCGACAAAACTCCCGCATAAACCGCCGTGTCGCATTTAGGACAGAGTGAATTATCATCCACTTCGTGGATAGATTTTCACGGCGTGTGGAAATATGAGCTAAGCGATCACCACTACACCGAAAAGCATCCTGGGGTTAGGTTCGAAGGCAACAAATCATGAGATTAGTACACCTACACCTTCTATGAATGGGAGTGGATCAACACCACAATAATGGCCACAATGTCCAAGGTAACAACACCTAATCAATCGAAGGCAGAACCTCCTTGATTACCACGGAAGCATGCTATCATTTACCTCCTGTTGTCCCTGGCCTCCTTGCGGAATTCTCGTTAGATTGGATACTCAGGTCTCTTCACACAGGTATCTCGGGGGTTTTCGTAACCATATTTCCTGCCACAATGCCATGTATAAGAGCGACTTCCCATGGATTTAGCAAGGATTGTCCAAGGTATTAGAAGGTGCCTGTTTCGTTGCGAGTTGGCTGCCGTAGGAAATGTTTGCCGAAACACTCGGTTCACGAATTCACGAGGCAATCTTTAGCCCCCTGGCCGAGGACCAAAAATAACTCTGCATGATGGACTCTCAATTCCTCCTCGCTATCCTCATCACATCGAGACGAATTAGTAAGGGACTTCGTTCCGGAACTTGGGCTGGTTCATACCTGGCCACTTCAGCTGATGCCTTGTCATCGTTGAACTCATCCGTTCTGGCCTCATATCGGAGCACTACTGCAAGTCGTATAGGCCCCGCACGAACCAAAAGAGCTCCTGATATTCCACACGAAGGTTATCCTTACGGTTCGACTTCCTAGTCCTAGTCTTCTAGCGATCAACGCAATAGTCGAAAGTCCGACCTAAATTCGAGCTCGGATCACTTACTCACAATAGTATCCGTCACTTCCATGCGACAATGCGACGACAACAAGCTAGTATACGTCTTGGTAGCACGACTGAAGTTTTCCATTTCAGGTGAGTCTGATCATCCGTCAAAGTGTTCCAACTAATGTCAAGCTATCCCTACTGCCTACATGATCTCATCCCCAGTACCTGATTCTTCCGCTCTTTACCATCAAATCAAATCTCATGTACTCCTGGAACTACGTGTAAATTCTGACTCATAGGTATACTCTCTCATTTGCTCGTTTGCTTCATTCACTCACAACATTTCCATTGCGAGGAGCCGTTGCAAGTGGATACTACTTCTCTACCTCCGGGTTTCTGTCCTTGGTGACAGCTCTTTCCTATTTACCTCTCCTACACCCACAAGTCCCAAAGGTTACTGCTCTGTAGCCAAATTTCTCTGCTCTCGCTGTCTGGTTACACCAATGCTCATGCACACAACAATTTCGAGTATTGTTTTCAAGCACTGTTTGCAAGTACGAAATCATGTTTTTCGAAGACTGGCATGATGTCTTCACATGCACTAATTGGTTGCTGACGCGTCGCTGCTTCAGCTCGGTTCGAAATCGCCGATGCCTGTGTTCTCGGTAATATTAGAATATTCTGTTCAGACGTCGCAAGATTGGCCTACACTATCATGAATTCATACTTCGATGCCGTCATTGCTCTCCATAAGATCAAGACAAGTCGATCTGATGTGGGAATACTATCGAGACGGGAAACCATCCGCAAGAACGAAGATTCGTCGAACAGGGTCACGCCACTGTCACCTGGATGAACATGGACGGGTCCAAGAGCAAGCTTTACTAGACAGGAGTAAAGCAACTAAATATTACCCTTCGATTATGCTTCGAGTAATCGTCGATGCTGAACACGTGTTATTACGACTTAGCGTTCTAGTAAGTATCTCTACAAGCCCGCATACCACATATACTTACCAATATACGTAGAGCTTCATTCAGTCTACAAGGCGGTCACATCCGCATGACTTGAGAGTTATCTGGTCGACCACAGCCGATACTTTTCGGGCCTCACCTTTCGATGTCTGAAATCATTGGTATTTATGTCAATATGTACAAGGGGTGTGCGATGCAGTCAGGGGGTGGTGCAGGTACATGACGATACGGGCAGTGTATTTGGATCATTTTTGATGTTTCGTAGCCTGCTCAAACAAGATATATTTGCGGTTAGTTGAGTTGATAGTCGACACGTACTGATCCATGTTGCCGATGCTCCGCCATCAACCCATGAGAGATCCAGTCGGGTTGTAACCGATGTTCGACGCGAATATATATACATATAACCACGTTCTCAAAAGTTCACTGAAGGGGTTTACAAGAATAGCTATTTTATGCATTCGTGGGGTGCGCTGGCGCGGAAGCTTATCAGTTATTGCTGCGCAGGGATTGAAGTCAGTCACTAGACATACATGTCAAGAAGGCAAGTAACAGTGAAGGCCTCCTTGGAAGCGATACAGTCTGGACTTACGGCGCAGCACCTAGGACACGGGTGGAGATCATGCAGCCAAGCTTTCAGGCATTAACTCATCCCTGGGGGTGGTCCACAATAGAGTTTGACTGGGCGCGAGATCCGGGTTCTTCTTACGGGTTGGGATCGATAGGCGAATAGATAAGGTTGGGAGGCACAGCACAACTCCTGCAGTTTGCCGATCAGCTTCCTCATGGGTGTTGTTGTACCTGGTACTGACTACCTTTGCTATGGCCAATAGAATTTTTTGAGATTTTTGCAATTACAGCTGCATTATCTTCCGCGATCTGGTTGGGCCCAAGTATGGTGCGAGTCGTGGTATATGTACTTCTCTATGTACAAAGAAAGTCGTAGCCGTCGAGGCATGTAGTGACTGATGCTAGCGTTTTGATATATTTACACGAAGAAAGTCGTGACCGTTGAGGCGTGTGGGGGTGTCCGGTGCGTCCGCTTCAATTACCAGCTCTCCTTGCGCGTCATGCGCTCTATCGCACGTGTCTTCCGCGCTTCAATCTCTGCGATCTTGCGCTGCACTTCAAGGGATGTCTGGTTTCGTGTCTGTTCGATAGTATCTATATCAGCGGTCTTCGTGCTTGTACCTTGACTGGCGGTGCGCTTCGGCGAGTCGCTGACTGAGTCGCATTTCCAGTGATCGAAACCTTGCTCGGGATCAACTAATGTTACCGGGCTCATGGCATGCAAGGGAAGCTCTTCGGACGGCGTGCTGGTCGTGACAGCACGGCCGATTTCAATGCTGCGTAGTCTCTTCGGGGTGAGCTCTATTCGGCGATCAAATTCGACAGGGACAGTAGTGTGTGATTTCGAGCTGTATAGGCGACGTGAGCCTTCGGCGTAGTGGCTGATTGGGCCCCTCCAGGCGCGGAGTAAGGGGCGGAGGGTTGCGAGAGAAGAAGCTGTAATAGCAAGACCGACTTCAAGAACGGACCAGGTGGCAATGTCAACAGTAGAGTCTTCCATAGTCAGCATGCGGACCTGTGTGCAGAGACGATGACTTACAAAGAAAGTCTGGTGATCCCAAATGGTGAAGGTAGAACATGCGGACGAGAGGACAACATCCAGCACTGGACCAGTCAGTATATAAATTCGCCAGAAGTGGAGAGAAGAGACATACAATCCGGCCATGCCTAGTATTGGAACAAGGCCAAATTTCTTTAGTCTGGTCATGTCTAAGTTCCAGACCAATACGGCAGGTAAAGCCACGAAAATCATATCGCATGCTGCACATGCTGCACCATAGAGATATCCCAGATCGATCATGATTTGATTTGGGATGCAGTGTCCTTCAGACCCTGGATAGACCTTTTTCCAGTAGTACGATACAGGGGTACACTGAAACGCTACCACACAGATAAAGGCCGTGCCTGACACCATGTTTGAAGTGACCGTAAAGAAAACGAGGTATCGTTGCCATCGAACAACGGTGATACGTAGGAAGAAGAAGCCAACGGATATTCGTGCAATCGTGAGTACAGTCCCGTACAGGAGGTAGCAGAGCCACCACAACTGTGAAAGTTGGTCAGGAATTTTGCCTTATTACGAGCCATTCGGTAACATACCAGATACGCTATCTCGGCGTCGTCATCGCTGATGTCTGTACGGTGTTTTCCTACGCCGAATATCGTGCTTCCAATTGAGCACCCCATATGACCCATAAAAACACACTGTGTATACGTCAGATCCACGAACATAAATGCAATAGACTATCACACTCACCAAGGCGACAATAATAAGCCAGTCATCTGTTCCAAATGCCCGTACGATTTGTTTGCGCACATAGACTCGCAGCAGAGTCGAAACAACGGATGTAAACAATAAAACAGCTGAAGCAACGCATAAAGACAATGCTCGGCCAGCAGCCATGTCGTTAGGCGCACCTCGTGTGTCGTGTGCTCGATTTTGTATAGTCTTCGCTCATGCCATAGAAGTCTCGCAACATTCCTCCTCTTGAGTAAGATTTTCGTCCCGTTTCTTTATGGCACTCAGTCTCCACAAAGCACATGTGAGGGTATTAGGAGTCGTGAATTGCTTCACGAACGTCTCTACAGCAGAAGGAGAAGTAAGGTACGAGGCAACAATGCGGGACTGGGGTAATCATATGATAGCCTAGCAGCGCGCAAAGGCCAGTATTAGTGGTACCGTAGGATTGTGGAAGTGGCACTGTACGTTTTTGACGGCTAGAGCCCAGTATGACAGGGATCCGCATATGTCCGTGCCTGACATCCTGGGAAAAACGTCAATCTTTGCTGTGCTGGGGAATAAGTAGTACGACTCAGTCAGTCAGAGGCCAACGATCTACAACCGCTCTCCCGCCATCAATTCGTTAACCTTATTTAGACTCGCTGGTGTGACAAATTAGGGTTAACAAGACCTGCATATGCATGCAAGAGGGTGACTTTTTACACCTCTTTACAGCGTAAATGTTAACCGAAGATGTATGCATGTGCTGTGGAGTCAGTTCGCAGTCTCGAAGATAACTCTTCGAGTTCGAGGAACCCCAAAGGCAATGTTTCAGGATTGCTCCATGCGCTTTTGGTGGCGATTAGTCTATTGGCAGCATGCAAATGGCGCCATGGGGGAATAGGTGATTGGTATCGGTAGCATTGAGCTTTCGAAGGCTGGAATTCAAGGGATTTCTTGGTAGGTGGGTGCCACTACATCGGGGGAGTACAGCCGTAGCTGGGTTTATCCTAGTCGTATCTTTTGATTGGCTGCAAGATGGTGGATCGACGTGTGCCTGACAGGGGCTACGTGCGTGGTTAGCCACTAGCCGATTTAGGGCCGTCCCCGCACCCGTAGCACCGGCACTCGGTGGTCTGGGTCCCCGTTCCCGCTCATTGCCGTGGAGACTCTCTGCCCGTGCTTCATCATGACATGTTGGGTTGACAGAAGCTAACAGTGTCGTTTACCAGCTGGGTTAATCCATGCCACAAAGCTGAACAGGCCTCGCCAAGTCCACTTCGACCGTTAACTACAATCTCACGAGATGCGGTAATCTTACCTCTTGCTGGTTCCCGCTGAACCTGACGTGTATCCTCCCACGCAGATGACTCGAGTGATGGTCGAAGATTGCGCAACAATCGACAGCACAATACGTGCGCGACTTTCGTCTATACCAAGTCCTATCATTTACATCACATGCACGCTACACGTTTCTTCACATCGGATCATCCTCTGTACTCGAGCTACCTTTCCAATCAGACCATCATCCTATGGTGGACCTGGGAGTCTATACTATAATCAGCACCAAAATCCTCAGCGTTTCCTGGTAGGCAACCGGATGAGATGTGTGATGTAGCCTACGCAGGAAATACTCATGGTCATTGCGCCTGCGATGATCCACTTTAGGACATCAATTGACTATAGACTAGCCAAGTCCTGGTAGTCCGGGCTCAACAAAGAGTTCCTTCTCTTGAAATGCTATAGGAGAAGCATTGGGCTTCACACTGACCCAACCTATCAAATGACATTTGTAGCCTGGGCTATGTTTAGCTCTTATAATTTACCTACAATGTCAGCTGAGTGACATGGCAACCTCGCTGTCTATATTAGTCATCGTGACTAACCTTCTGATCGCCCTTGAACATACAAGGGTTAGAGGCTGCACAAGTCTTCCTGTATGCTTATTTGCGAAGCTTAGAGTCCCCGCCGGAATCGCGTATGTATTCCGCTACTCTCGAATACATAATAGTACACCATCGGCGCGAACTTATATGACGAGGCTATGACTAAAGCGCCTTGGCGCGGGCCGTCAGATGTGTCAACGGAATTTTCAATCGGATAAGTCTCAACTTCCCATTCCTCTTACAGCACTAACCATTGTAGTAGCGTCTCGCTTGCGGAGCTTGCACTCCAAAGAATATTGCATATGTAAACTCTGCTCAATTAGCCCCTGATCATGCCTTCCAAGTTATACTGTATAATTACATGACAAGCACCCTGTCAAAAGATGGAAAATACTGAGTCGTCAATCGTACCTGGAACAGAGACTCCTCATGAGGCGTGCGGCTGATCGAACGACCCAGAAATGAATGAAAGGTCTGCAGCAGGCGAACTCACGTGGTGGATCATTAAGCATGCAATAAGTACTCGCACACCAGCGGTACCGCCTTCACATTATCATCGAAACGTCGATTGTGGTAAACTCGTTGCTGCAGAAATGGATTGCATCAATCGCTGATCCGGCTCTACCTGACGCCGGGTCTCATGCAGGTTGCAAGGACTACTGTACTTATCTAGACTAAAGAAAGCTAGTACACCTTGTTGCATTGTGGATCAAGGAGAGTGGCATGGAGGTATTTCTTCTTTTCCTTCTTTCTTTATCTTGACACGTTCTGGGACACTGGCATTCCCCTGTCGTCATAGTGAAAGACACAGTTGTCCACTGAGTCACTATTTTCACTTTGCTGAACATGCCCTCATGAAGAATGCCATCATGTTTCCACGCACATCAGTCTCTCGACTGTTTCACTCATCAATGTGTCCGTACTAGTATACGTACAAACTGCTAGAAGCCTAGACCTAACTAGGCACCATCGGTCTTACATTATACGGTATTAGAAATGTTCGTTAATTGATGGTCTGAGTCGAAAGCGGCTGCTAACAGCAGTTTGCACGAGAGCATGCATGTTTCAGGGGAGGCATCTTATACATGGGTCAGATGTCACAAATCGCAGTATGTTAGTACGATGTGGAGTCATGAAGAGATAGAGAAAGTTAGGTGTGATTAGGAATATGTTGTATTCCATACCATATACAAAACCAAACTTCGTTGCTATCCACGGACTCGCGATCCTTCCTCTCAGCTCTAGGGCAGAGTAGCTCTCAGGAGGGGCGCTGTTGTAGCCTCAGATGGCCTCAAATCACTATTTCATAGATGTATTGGGTATCATAATCTCTACGAACGCCTTTGACCTCTACTGAGTCATGCATATCTGCACCGACGCCAACTATACAAAGAATGCTTTCTCCTCTGGAGCCCGTTCGAGCTCCCTCCTCCCAACTAAATCATCTCTCTAGAATACGATCCGCCTTTATCACAATCGTCGTCATCGGTGCACCAATATCTCAGGTCCACCTCACTGCAGCGCGATATGAGAAGGCGCTTCTTTTGAAAGGATTTGAGGATTTTCTCGAGCTAGTCTTTGTAGTAGGTTGTTTCTTTTCGGATTCGTCGATGAGCGTCTTAGTGTCTGGGACAGTGTCAGCTTATACGTTGCTAAGGGTTCATGGAAGGATTGTACCGAAATCGGATGGCTGGCAGAGTCCACAGTCGCATTTGCGATGTGACGAGGGCGAATCGCCAAAGATGGTTTGCATTTGAGCGTAGAGCTCGGGAGACATGTTCATACTCGACATATTGATTGTAGTTTTGGTAGTGTAAAAATTCGTAAGATAGGATTACTATTTCCGAGTGTCGATGTCTGTGGGTTTTCACTTATCGAGTGTAACGAGACGATATTTACGACGTAGCGGTGCAGGTGATGTTCACGAGGATAATGACTCTTTCCCATGTTTCTTCGCGGGGCTCTCAAGCTTATATTTCCAACCCTCTCAGATGTGGCTTACATCCAGAACCTCTTTTACCAATTGCACGTCTATTTCAGCACATCACCAGAATTCGTCTGCGGGGCGTGCATCTCAGTGGCAATGATCGCTGTCCCCGGAACCAGGTTACACAGTCAGGCTGCAGATACTGGTCAAAAGTTCCAATCGCCATGCGTGACTTCCCGGTCGGCTGCTCGAGACAACGCCCATGAGCCAGGATCATGGTGGTTCTAGCCGAATAGGCAAGCCACACGAACGCCGGATTGAGTTGATGCCTTCAAACACGCGACGACTAGGCTTCTTGCGGAGTAGTAGGGCTCAACGTGCATTAAGCGAGAATGTCTGGATCGTGGTCGAATATGCAAAAGTTGATTTGCTTGCCAGCTATCAACATTTGCATCCCGTGATATTATTATATATATATCGATATGTAGAGGCATCAGACGCTTCTCTCATAAGGAAGCGTGATCGCTGGGATGTATCAAGTCTGGATCGATTGGCGCTTGGATGGGTATGGATGCTTGCCAAGAAGATGTGTACGAGTTCGAAGTCTCGATGCATAGACATTGTTCTGGTCGAATTTGAGCTTTTGCACACACAATGACAGACGTCCTTCGAAGGCTTGGTATTGCCGGGTCTGTTACTTGCCTCCATGCGGGACAAAGATTTGTGCTGGGACAGTCCTGACTCCTGGGTGGGGTCCGGCTTTCTACAGAGAACCTCGAGGACAGCCGTAGCCATGAGATGGCACTCATCATAAGAGTACAGTTCTTAATCAGAAGATCAATACAGTGAGACGGAGCGAGGATGTTAATTTTCTCTGGCGCCGTTCTCTATATGCTTCCCATTGTCGTATCAGTGTGATGTGTTGTGGAAGGTTGCTTCGAGAGCGATTCCGTATGCCTGTTTCTTGGTACCAGGATAAATAGAGATGATCTACTTGTTCTTTTCCATACGTCGAATGTTCTCTAGTGGAAGACATCCATTGAGGTTTGAGCTAGGTTCAAATGTAGTGGGTTGACATACCGCGGATTCGGCTTAGGCTTAACGTCGTCCCATGGCATGAGTTGTTGCATGTGCTCGGCCTGTCGTCATTCGAAGCCTGTAGGCGTAAAAATCATACTAGTCAGCAGAAAGGCCACCAGCGAGATCACCAGCTGACCCACCAAGTAGGGCTTGAGCAGACGATACCTTTTGGTACGGAGCTCATGTGAACTAGTCGTGGGTTGGAATGGTACGCTCATAAACGTTGTAGTCGTAATCAAACCAACTCAGCATTATACATACTCATGCCTAAGGCAGCATAATACAAGCGAAGCCCCGCCATAGATATAAGCGAGATAAGAGGGTTGAGTGGGTCACGGCGCACTCCGTAACTCACATGCAGTCTCATGATAGAGACTCGGCCGACATGCGGCATGCGATCCCTTACCTAATCTGTGTGGCGGATTAGAGCTCCTCAGGCTATGATACCAATAAACACAACATGGCTGACACTATAGACTCTGCGGTGTCCAAAGACAACCTATTCATTCCGGTGAGGAATCTTGAGAGCTAAGGTTCAAAGCTTGCTAATGAGGAATAGCTCATCGATTTCTCTCACTTCACATCCGGCACAGCTTCAGAGAAGAAGGCGGCTGCCGACGCCGTGCTGAAAGGCTTCCAGCAAGCAGGCTTCATCTACCTCAAGAACCATACAATACCGCTTCCCGATGTCGAGAACGCATTCAACTACTCCGCAAAGTTCTTCGCACGTCCCCAAAGTCAGAAAGACGAGTTGGAATGGTACAGCCCGGAGGCGAACCGCGGATACGTCCAGCAAGGGCGAGAGAAGGTCACAGACCTTATAGATAAGGAAGACGTTGCAGCATTGAGGGGAGATGTACCAGACCTGAAAGAGTCGTTGGAGATTGGGAGAGAAGGCGAGGAAAACTGCCCAAACATGTGGCCGGACAAGTTCGATGAAGAAGGCAAGACCTTCAAGGAGTACATGATTGGCTTCCATGACCAATGCAAACGACTACACGCTCAAGTGATGCGCGCCGTAGCTCTGGGTCTCGGAATCGAAGAAAGCTGGTTTGACAGCTTCACAGACCGTGGTGACAACACGTTGAGACTGCTACACTACCCAGCTGTGGCCAAGGACGTCTTCAAACGGAGCGATGGGAGGATGCAGGTGCGCGCTGGCGAGCACTCTGACTATGGCTCAATCACCCTACTCTTTCAAGACGCGCGCGGGGGCCTCCAGGTCAAGTCGCCACAGAACACATTTGTGGATGCAACTCCCATACCAGGAACTATTGTTGTGAATGCTGGAGACCTCCTCGCGAGATGGTCAAACGACACGATAAAGTCCACCAAACATCGGGTCATCGAGCCACCACCAAACCCCGACCAGGCCACGCCTGGCGATAAGTATCCACCGCGCTACTCGATTGCTTATTTTTGCAATCCAAACTTTGGTCGTACAATCGATGCGATCCCGGGAACATACGCAGATGTCAAGGACAAGAAATACGAATCGGTCAACAGCGGGGAATATCTAGTGCAGCGTCTGACGGCGACATATTGACATTCATGCTCTGATGTAACGCACTGCGCTTGAGATAGAATTCACCAATTACACCAAATCGAACTGCTGCACATGGCCGTTTCCCGGTCGGTGTTCGTTCTGTGACGATGACTGTTGTTCAAAGTACCGCTTCCGCTTCAGATTTGTCGATGGTTGAGTGCTATCTCTTAGATTGCATCTGGATGCCCTTCTCGTCATCTAAACCCCTTTCTTCGTTCAAAGTAGTCACATATCTCACGCATTGCTTGCAGGCCAACGCCATACAGCACAAAGAATCTCTCGCGCCATCACCTGATTTCTACATTAAAAGGCACTCTTTATGATGCTCCAGGCCAGGGGGGCTTTGATAGATGTGAGGAGCATATCTGATATCCCGTCAATGGAACCCACACCGCACCGCTTGACGAGACTCTCATACTTGGTTTGCGCGCAACATCTGGTGTATGCTAGACTACAGCTATCATGTCAAACCATCCGCACTAACGCTGCGTGAGAGATTGTCCAGTCGAGTAGAATGGATCCTCCAGTCCTCTACAAACTTGAGACATAGTGCTGCAACATGTTATATGTGTAAAAACGCGCAAACCAACGATATACAACATCAATTCAAAGATCTCCTTCTGACAGTAAATTTCAACGGTCCAGCGCATGCTTTAAATATCTCTGGCTTGACACGGATCCAGCATGGCCATCAACCCGTCCAGCTTTGCTACATTATCTTCTCCCTGCTTCTTATGGTCATCTCGATACTTGGTGAGTTTCTTCTTATTCAGAACCTGGAAATAGAGTGTGCTGGTGCGGTCAACGTCGCACGTGCAGGCCCCCAGAGTTTGATGTCTTGAAACAAGGGGCGGGTGAGGTTCATGTAGGTCCTAAACTCTAGAGACCGGACGGTGGTTGTTGGCTGCGTCGTTCCGCACGTATCGTCCATGAGCTTGTCATTTCCCGGGGTTTGTTGCAGACTTTCTTCCACGACGTCCTGAGCGGCATCGTATAACTCGCCGTCCCGCAGGAAGTGTGTCCATGTTCACCCAAGGAGCTGCCCTCAAAGATATTGGTCATGGCGCCTCTGTGCTTTGGCACGCACTACTCAACTCTCATCTTCAACCGACCAAGCATGATGGTGAACAACCTCTAGATTAATCAAGGGCTCGGGGATTCCAGACATAGTCTATACACGAACCCGCCGGGCTGGTCCTACGACTCATATCAAAAACCTGGCGAGGCTTTCTCTTCGATGCAACCCTATTCATGACTTCATGCTAGATATGAATGGGCAGCAGGCTACGGACACCACATCCATCCCGAGAGAGCACCCGAAGAGGCTTCGAGTCGGCAGGACCAATCAAACTATCTGCACGAAGCAGGAGGTTGGGAAGCGATGGTATAGATGCCATGGCAGGCGTTTGCGTACCAAACTCGTCAAACGCGCCCTGTATTACAAGACATTAGGCAGAATTCCCCTGAACTGGATAGCTTTGCGTGCGACTAGATGTAATCATCAACAATGAATCTCATGAAGACATACGACAAAACTTAACTGGCTTTAACCATGAGATTGATAACAAGATGTCCAGTCTCTGCAGCCCCCTGACTTGTTGGAAGCTGCGCGCATTTGCAGACTGCTATCACATTTCTGTGCTCTAGCAGACGAAGCAGGCTTTCGTAATCATTGTTTTCGTGGCCCTCGTCCTGATGATGATGATGATGATGATGATGCTTTTGGCACGGGTGGGAACTGATTACCACCTAAGCATACTCGCCTTCAATAAGCGTTTTGGGCGACTTTCCCAGACCAGCTCCACAACATCATCAATCAGAAAGGGGGGGGGAGGGTTTCGTTATTGAAGAGAATGAGTTAAAGTCAAATCCAGATCTAACTCTACGAAGCCTTGATCAGGCGTCCCCGCACAAGTCGTAGACTCTGGATTCAATGAATCATACTGACTTTCAGTGTTTGTCAAGGTTTCAGACTGGAAGCCAAGTCCTGAATGCTGCTGCAGCTTGCTAGAGTTCTGGAACCAGGTTTAGAAAGTAACCCAAGCATGTTGAGCTTCAAGCATCATCTTCTCGGTAGTGTTACGGGCATGGAGCCCCTCGTCGACATGTGCTGTGAACTGCGAATGAAGTCCCGGGCAATCTCCCAACGTCGTGGAGATCGAAGTCTGGAAGAACGCTCATTTCGTTCAGCTGGTATGGATGTGCGGCATTGGCGACGAGGCGTTAATGTAGGCGACCTGTATTTCAGGACTGAAGGTTTTATAGGAGCATTTGTGACATGGTCTTCCTCTAGGGCGCTTCAAGCTACTTCTCCGTCTCCTGGTTGCAAAGACAGTGTTGCTGTCTTTGCGTTGAGTTTTTCTGTCAACATCTATACGTGGTGCATGAAGTCGCGCGGTGGAGTTTCTCTACTCTCTGGAACATACCCAGACCATCAGCCATGATATCCATGAGACGTTGGGAGATGGCCTGGAGTCCGGCTCAAGGGTCACATAACACGTCTCCATTTCGGTCGAGATGGATTAATAGTTCTACGTAAGGGAAGAGCAGCGAAGAACTGTGCTTGCGCGCGCTTCGTAACACCGCACAGTCGACGTCTCCCGTGGATGCAGAGAGGACCTTCATGAAAGCTCAAGTAAACCCTCGAATTCTACACAGTTAGCCAAGCCAAGCTTCCCAGGCTACCCGCTGTCAAGAGATAGAGAATCAAATGTAGCGATCAACATATTGCCTAGATAGTGGAGTTACTTTGTGTCAGTAACATCATGACGAGTACAGCACGACTGGCAATCAATTGAGGCTCTTAGATCCAAGAAATCACAGTCTTTTATCGAACTCGTGCAGAACCTCCATCTTGAGAATGTGCCACTGACGGAGAACCAAAATCTGGTGATTCCATGCGTACCGTTGATGAACAATCCTTTAATATCCTCAGTATCTAAGGTCCTGGCGTACTTCCGTAGGCGGTACTCATACAGTTTAGCAGACAGCGATACTTAGATAGTAGAAGTACATACACACCATACGTCACTCGGCGTCTTCTGCACCGGTCGCAGCCCCTTCGAGTGTGACCCCCCTCCCACCATCGGGAGATTCCTACGCAGTCGGTGGCCTGACCTTGCAAATTTAAAATCGCGACACAATGAACGCCGACATAGCAGCCCAAGGAGATGTCTTCGAATAGCAGACAGAATAAGGATTACACCTGAATGAAATTGATAGACATTATACAGACCGACATCAAGAACCACGAACAAAACATTCACACAGAGTGCGCCACCGCAATAGCAGAGACGTATGGCTGTTCCCGTCCGTCGGCAAACGACATTGACGGTTCGAGCTAAGATTAAAGTTTCGGAGCTAAGCCATAAACCAGGCTCCTTATGCAGATCTAGCTCTAATAGGCTAGTACAAACTCCACAGGTGCCCCCTTACTAAGTACTTCCCCCCTCTGGCAGCCCTGCCTTGTCTGCCCCGCATACAAATTCCTGATTTGCGTGTCTGCCTTTGGAACGAACACGCTCAATCATCTAATTAATTAATTAATTGATTAGGCTCTGCTTTGCACCTAGTTCTCTCTCACCTCACCCCGGCAAAGCGAACATGAAACCATCCTTCGTGTGTGATGGCGGTAGACAAGATGATGGAGGACCCTCTACCTGGTATTATGCCACTTGCCAGAACATTGCACTCGGGATCTCAGTATCTCTGCCATACCTCCACACGGCACAGACAGATTGATATCCACCCAAGACCCAAGTGCGCACACAGGTCTCTGTTCTGGACATAACACAGGGTATACATGAGATCGCAGAAGATCATCACACATGGGGAGGGTTTTTTTCATTCTGAACCCGCTGTAATACCAACAAAAGTAGAACTGTCGTGTTTGTCGTCGTCGTCGTCGTCGTCTTCTCCTTCTTGACTTTTCTGCGTTTCCATGTGTGTCTGTCTGTCTGTCTGCTAGTGCTCCGCCGGATATTATAAATTAATATATATGTAAAATATATATATGTATATATATATACCTCAGTCACACACGACCATCCAGTACCCCAATATACTCCACACCGTCGTCGTGCCAACAAACATGTACCCCATAATATGCGCCGGCCCCAGCATCAGACTCGACGCAACATAGCGCCCCGCCACGCCGCCCAACAGGCCGATCCAAAAGACAAAGAACCCGACGTCCCACATCTTCGCGCGCAGCTTCGAGTGGCGCGACAGCTCCTTGCTCGAGCGCATGGTGGTGCCCCACGAGTCGTTGAACACGGTCATGAGACTCCAGGCCTGCACGGCGGGGAGGGGCACGTTGTAGAAGAGGTTTGCGGGGACGCTGTAGAGCCACTCGGCGAGCGAGGGCCGGAGCGGGTTGCGCACGGCGAGGTAGACGAGCGTGAAGGCGAAGCGGAAGAGGTAGTCCTGGAAGGAGAAGTGGAGGGGGGTGACGCCGGTGAAGAGGTAGACCATTGCGATGACCATGGCGGTCATGCCGGTGAGCTGGCGGCGGAGCGCGGCGAAGAAGAAGATGGGCGGCTGTTGGAGGTAGATTTCCGGGCGGGAGTAGCTTTCGATGTGGACGGCGCGGGCCCAGCGGACTTGTTGGAGGAGCCAGCGGCGCATGTTGATGGGGGATTCGGTGGCGGTGAAGGCGTCGGGGATGAATAGGATTCGCCAGCCTTTTAGGAGCAGGCGGGTGGTGAGATGTCGGTCCTCGTTTACGATCATGCTGGATTCGTCTGTCAGTTCTGGTCCTGACTACTGCGCTGGGGTTTTGTGACTTACCGATGTCCGAGGACAGTCTGCTTGTACCACGCCAATAGCTCCGGGATGATCAGCGCAGTACGGAAGACCGCACACGGTCCGCTCTGGCAGTCGTTTGCCCCAAATGAGCTGGCGAAACATCTGGACAGGTGCAGTTCGTTGAGATAGACGGAATTGCCAATCTTGGTGATCAACGTGTCATTCCTGTTGTGGATTGAAAGTGCAGTGCTCGCGCCAGCCACCAAGGGATCTCCTGCAATTGTCGCTACAGTGCGTGAGATTGTGTTTCGCAAAACGATAGAATCGGAATCGGACGTCCAGAGATACTCGATGCCTAGAGCGTCCGAGATGACCTTTGAGAAGATGAAGGAGGTGAACATGACACCCTTCTTGTGCATGTGTGGCTGGCTGATACAGAGTCTGGAGATGGCGCCTTCTCCGGTCAGTCGGATGTTCTTCTCCTCGAGGATACGCTTGGCAATTGTGCAGCATTTGTCCAGGATGTCGTCGTCTGGTGTGTCCTTTGACCGCATTCGGTCCATGGACAGGGCGATTTCAACAAGGGGCACTTGAAGGTGGAGTAGTGTCGAGTCCGTCTTGTAGACCTTCGAGAACACATTGACCATCTCCTGGTCCTCATCACCATCGCCATCGACACAAGCCAGAACGAACCGACAGTTGTCAGCGGTGATGTAGCTCTGCAATGCCTTGGTAAAGATGGCGGGATCCTCCCTATAACCTACAACGGCAGCCAGACAGTCCAGGTTGCGGTCTGCAGCAAAGCTCTTCTCATATTGTCTATCCGACCTTTTGGCCGACAGCACATGTGTATTATTTTCGTTACGCAGCGCCGTCCGCTTGCGCTTCCGCGCATTCGACCAGCCACAGTACTCAGCCAGAAAGATGGACAACCCAGTATCGATAGTCCACAAATGATTAGAGACGATAAGAAGGTAGAAGTAAAGAGACGACGCCAACACGCAGCCCACGAGATTGAACCATTTCCGGGTCACCGGGCTGGCGACCTCCACCCTGGCGGCCTTGCGATCTTCAAACGGCTTTGGGCGAGCGACATAACCCATAGTGAACAAAAAAACAAGCGAATGGACGTCACCTCTGTGACAATAGATAAGGGGGGAACGAGCGGACAGCTAACGAAGCGAAACGTCATTTGGGAACCGCCCACCTTTTGAGCTGATCCATTCTGCCCCCGAGTCTCTCGAAGAACATATGAGCCCAGCAGTCATGCGTTGCAGAAATTAGAGATGGCGCTGTCACATCGGATGAGCGAGGTACGGGGTGGTGGCTTGTGCTTAGTTCTTGATAATTGATGCTCTAACGGTGCTTGGACGTTTGGCCACATGCGAAATCCCAGTTTAGCCTGCTTCCTGTCCTAGTTATCAGGTCCTAGTCTTTGGCTCGCAACAAGCCGGACAAACCTTAGCACTAACACTTTCGGCCGATCCTCGTTGGAGATGTCGTTGTACAAGGCATGTTGTGTACTAACCCGAGTATTCAAAGACAATTGCCAGAATTCAGAGTGCTTCTTGACGGCTTCTTGAAGCTGGCAGGCAAGCCGGCACGCAATGAAAACAAGCACTGTCAGGACAGTCAGGACAGGCCCAAGAGCATCACGTGGCATCAGCAGGCTACTAGCCAGGAGAAATACGTAAGGATGGGTTGCTTCTTTGGGGCTATTAAGCCGCAGGGCAGACACAGAGGAAGCCAGCCGATTGCCACCGCAAGGAGCAACAAGCCTGTCCAGGATCTCCAAGTCTGGAGCCGCAGAATTGCAATCATCGCCATCGCCGTCACCATCGTACCAGCATTCATACCTCACGCAGATGAGATCCAATAATTCTTACGATCAGTCCACCGAGTCGGTGTAGACACTGTAGAGGCAGAATGACGAGAGTATTGGAGCTTATGCAGGCCATCGTGGGCAGCCAGCAACAAGAGCAGTCACGGGTGTCGGCGTGATCAGTCAGACAATGAATGGGCAATTTAAGGTGGCCGAGCTGATTGGCTGAGAGTAGGTCCCGGGACATGAGGGATTCAGGGTTCGAATGATATCGGATGTTTGGGGGAGCTCGAAAATTGGCATGTAGGCCCACCTCTCGTCTAATGTAGTGACTTATTAGTCCGCACGCTTAGTGTGTGCTTTGCGGCTTGTAGTATGGAAGCGATGAAAGGTTCAAGCACGCTATTGACGAGCGCATTTTACCAACACATAAGAATGGGCAGATGATGATGATGATGGCGAGACGAGCTGTTGGGTGTTTTGTTTTCCTGTTTAATTAATTTAGACTCTCCAACAGAACGCGAGGGGAGTGCAAAGTTGTCAGTGTGGCTTGACCTTGACCCGTTCGGATGTCCATGGATCGTCTTATGGCTTAGTCACTGCGCCACGCTCAGGGATCCGATCCTCATGGCGCTGCCGAGCCGGCGCTCCGGGCTGTACTTGTTAGGGTTAACTCCATTACTTGGGCCTTTTGTCTCCCTTTTTTTCTGCTGCATCGACGACTTGTAATTGTGATTCTTTGACCTTGTTTGCAACCTCTTTGATTGCAGGCTGTCATTGCAGGGCAGCGATGCGACAGCGTGCTAGAAGTAGTACTGTATAGACAGAAAGAGATCAGGTGATTCCTTTCGACAACGAGTGCGCGCGTAAGAGAGAGAGAGAGAGAGAGAGAGAGAGAGAGAGAGAGAGAGAGAAGGCTGGCCTGGATAGCTGTTCTTGCGATCCGAACATGGCCTTGTCACCGCCATCGAGTGGTAATGTGAGTGGCGGAAGAGAGGTGTGGCTGGATGGCCTGAGGGGATATGCAGCAGTCATCGTTGCATGGTTCCATCTGACGAATGTTTTATTTCCCGTGTGTATACACCCAGCTATCATCGAGAATAACATCAACAACAAGAGAATGCGAGAGAAAGACTGACAGGCTCCAGATGCCATACCGCTCGTACTGGGCCGACCCGCCCGAGGACAACCGCCACTTCATCCAGCTCCCGCCCTTCCGCATCGTCTTCGCCGGCCAGGCCATGGTCGACATCTTCTTCGTCGTGTCCGGCTACTCGGTCTCGATCGCGCTCATCCGAGCGCGCAACAGAGACGGCGTCGTAGCCGGCGACTTCTACCGCAGACTCACGTCGGCCGTCTTCCGGCGCTTCTTCCGCCTCTTCATCCCCGTGCTCGTGCTCGTCACGCTCTCGCACCTGCTCTACTTCCTCAACCTCTACACCTGGATCTTCTCCGCCGAATGGGGCTTCCCGGGCTGCATACCCTTCACCAGCCCCTGGTCGCATCTCAAATGGTACCTCTCCACCATCGCCTCGTTTGCCTACCTGCAGACCAACCAGAACCTGACGCTCAACGACCACCTCTGGACCATTCCCGTGGAGATGTGCGGCTCGCTGCGCGTGTATCTCGCCGTGCTCGGCTTCGCGGCTGTGCGTCCGCGGCTGCGGCCCTGGCTCGTCGCGCTGGTGGGTCTGCGCCTGCTCTGGCTCGGCAACCCGGAATACACGGCCTTTATTGCCGGGCTGACGTACGCCGAGCTCGACGACGGCAACACGAGCAGGACGATGTCCCACGGCGAGCTGCCACGTGTGACGCGGGCGGCGGAGGAAGAGGAGGAGGAGAGGATGATCCGGCACACACCGCCGAAAACGACAACGACGACGACGACGCTGCGACTCCGGCCCCTCAGACGCGCCATCACGCCCGCAAAATGGGCCATGTTTGCAATCAGCATATACCTGCTCTGCCTACCGGTGGAAAACCCGTTCCCGGCGGACTGGGCGTTCCAGCGACACATCCGGCCGCCGTACTGGAAGGACTGGGAGATTGCGATGCGGTCGTGGCAGACGATTGGGGCAGTACTCTTCATCGGCAGCGTGCGGCAGCTGCCGGTGCTGAAGCGGCCGTTTGAGACGCGGCTGGCGCAGACGCTGGGGTCGGTGTCGTTTTCGCTGTACCTGCTGCATCAGACGGTGTACCGGACGCTGCTGAACCGGATGTTGGACTGGTGGTCGTGGGTGTTTCTGGGGGACGGGTATTGGGAGGTTGGTCCTGAGCTGCGCGGGTATGTGGTTGGGTTGGTGTGTGTGTGGATTCTGAGTGTTGCCGGGCTTATGGCAGTGTTGGCGGTGGGGACGAGGTATATGACTCGGGCGGTGGACCAGAGGTCGGTTGTGCTGGCGCATCGGATCGAGGAGTGGTGCTGCAGATGAGTTATTCTTGTGATTTTTGTTGCGTGCATGTTCTGGTGTTGGGAGGGCGGAGGTTGTCTTGGTGGCGACCTGTGAGGGTTTGCGATAGATATAGACACGGGCAACAGACATGCCATGAATATCAAGGCACACGAGACGAACCACAAAGTGAATGCACGTACCGGTAAAGAATTCCCGCTCGCAAGTCTCACACCGGAAACCCCGACATCCCCTCCGCATCCCACCCGACCCCCTCCAACCACCTCCCAAACTCGACATCCACGCCACTCGTGAAGAACGGACATGAGGCAACGTAGACGCGGACTTGGGCTTGGACTTTGGCCTGGTCAGGGGCGCCGGGTGATAGACGCACAGGTCGGCTCTGTTCCGACGGGTGCATCTGGCGCACGCAGGCACCGCGTGGTCGCACCGGAGCTTGGCCTTTCTGCAGGGCTCGCAGGCCTGCAGCTTTCCGTTCCGGCGGTACGCGGGCGGCGGCGGTGGCATAAGTGGCTGTGTTACGTGGCCATGGCTTGAGTAGGATGGGTGAGGCGGATGAGAATGGATGTAGTGGTGGTGTGCGGTGTTGCGTATGTCTGGGTGGATCTTGTACGGTGTTTGTAGTGAATGTGAATGCCGTTGCGGAGTTGGGCATAGTCTCAACTCCGCAAAGCTTGGTCCGCTCGTGTCTTTTTGGTGCTTAATGCTTGGCTTGATAGTTGGTATGCTGACGGTTTGTAGGACTGCCAAGCATCTTAGCACTTTCCTCACACTGTATCCCGCCATGCCGAACGCCGCATCAAGATACAGACATGCCGTGGGCCAGGCAGCTGCATTGCGCAGTTGGATGGTGCGTACAGTTTGTGTGCGGTATTGTGGTGCGTATGCTGACAGGCGTGAGTTAGGCAACCGCATTACGGAGATGGATGTGAATATAAATATATGCATGCATGTAGTCGTGCGCGGTGAGAGTGCTGTTGCAGTCCATCTTGACATTGACATCAAAACCAATACCAAGAACAGCAATGCCAGCCCTACCCACCATGCGTGTCTTTGGCAAGAAGAAGGCCGAGCCTACCTCGCTTGCCCGAGCATCTACATGCACATCCACATCTACAACATCCACGTGCACACTCTCCAAGGCACAGCATCGAGACCAAGACACAGCAGCAGCAGCACGGTATGAGAAGGAGGTAGCAGGTATGTTATATCAAGTCCAGTCATCGTTCGTGGAATGATATGCTGTGAGTGTAGGTAGGATAGGACTGATGAAGAGTGGTAGGGCCGGCGAGGGTGAATGCGATGCGACTTGCGATGTGATTGGTGGTGGTGGTGGTGGAGGATAGTGGATGAAGGAGGTGGAGAGAGTGGATGAAGTGAATGGAGCGAGTCGGTTGATGGATGGAGGGGGTGGATAGAATAGACAGGTGTATATGCAGGTCTTGGAATCGTACATATGCTGGAAACCATCATCCATCATCCACGCCCCACCTCCACCTCTCCACATCTCCACAGCAGTAGCATCAGCAGCGAAGAAGGCGGGGAAAGAGGAGGAGTAGTAGTAGTAATTAGTGCTAGTACAGTACAGTACAGTACAGTAATATTGAATATACAGGCCCTCACTGATAATAATAAAAAAAGAAGCCGAGAAGAAGTGCCGTGGACGGGCCAGTAATTACGGGCGTACTATATAGCTGATTACCAGGTATAATAGCTGATTACTGCGTATAGCTACTGCCAAGGTGCGTATAGCTAGGACTGGGGATAATTAGAGCTACTACAGACTGTACGTAGGGTACGAGAACGAGGCACAGCAGCCTGACTCGCTCACTGCGGGCTTGTCTCCATCATGGATAAGTACCTGTAGCACCTAATTACCGAGCATATCTGTGCAAAACGACGACGACGGTAGCTAGCTACTAATAAGCTAGTTAGCTATACACGAGACGGCATTATAATTGCTGGGTATGTATATAGCAGCAACAGCAGCAGCAGCCTGTGCGATCGCAGCCCTCACAGCCATCTCGACGCCCCTAGTGCCACTACGACTACTACTACTATTACTACCACCGCCGCTGCAGCAGCTGCTCAGCACAACAAGCATGTATCTCCGCACCAGCATCCCACTCCTAGCCAGCATCCCATTCGGCACAACAACAACAACAGCAGCAACAACAACGTCAGACTTCTCCGCAAGATGCACAGCACTCACCTCCACCATCGCCATCCCCGGCGCAACGGTGTGGTTCGCCGAGGTGGTAGCCGCAGGAACAAACATCAGCGTGCCCGAGTATGCAGAGTACGGGTGTGCAAGTGCGGCGTCAGAGTACAGTGTGCAGCGGGACATCTGCCGGGTTGCGATGCGGGTTGCGACGACGGAGCGGAGTGAGATTAGCATGGAGGCCTGGCTGCCGCGCGAGTGGAGCGGGCGCTTTCTGAGCACGGGGAATGGCGGGCTGGGCGGATGTATGTCAGGGGATGAAGAAGTGTGTGTATGTGTGTGTATGTGTGTGCTGATGAGAGAGAGACAGGCATCCAGTATTACGACGTGGCATATGCGGCGAGTCTGGGGTTTGCGGCGGTGGGAACAAACAATGTGAGTGAGTGAGAGGCGGGGGGGGCTATAGTCTCTACAAAGCACGTGCAGTGTATGACGGGATTGCATATAGGGACACAATGGCACGTCCGGCAAGCCATTCTACCAGAACGAGGAGGTGGTCAGGGACTTTGCCTATCGCGCGTGAGTACCTTCGATGTCTAGGGGTTCTCGAGACTGACATGCACAGGATGCACACGGGCGTGATCGTGGGAAAGGAGGTGACGGCGGGGCTGTACGGCAAGGCGCACAGCAAGTCCTACTACCTGGGCTGCTCAACCGGCGGACGTCAGGGGTTCAAGGCGGTGCAGGAGTATGCCGACGACTTTGACGGCGTCGTTGCAGGCGCTCCGGCCCTTGACTTTACCAACCTGATCAACTGGTCCGGCAGCTTCTACGGCAAGACGGGAGCGCCAAACTCGACGACGTTTCTGTCGACGGAGCAGCGCTTCCTGGTCAACGAGATGGTGCTGGCGCAGTGCGACGCGCTGGACGGCAGCGTGGACGGGCTGATTGAGGATCCGTCGCTGTGCAATCCCCGACCTGAGGCACTCATCTGTAGTACCACCACCACCAGCAGCACAGACTGTCTGAGCAGCGCCCAAGTAGCCTCTGTCCGCGACCTCTTCTCGCCTCTCTACGGGCAGAACGGCAGTCTGCTCTACCCACGACTGGAGCCGGGAGCGGATGCGTTTGCGCCAGGCGGACTCGGCTTGATCGTCAACGGCAGCCCGTTCCCCTACACGGTGGACTGGTACCGCTACGTCGTCTACAACGACGCAACCTTTGACGCCGGCAAGCTGACAGCCGCCGACTACGCGGCATGCAACGCAAAGACGCCCTACATCTCGACGTGGAAGGGCGACCTGACTGCCTTCCAGCAGCGCGGCGGAAAGGTGCTGACCTATCACGGCACCGTCGACAGTCTCATCTCGCTCGACAACAGCGCGCGATACTACGAGCACGTGTCGCGCACGATGAGCCTGCCGTCCAGCGCGCTCGACCACTTTTACCGCTACTTTCGCATCTCCGGCATGGCGCACTGCAGCGGAGGCCCGGGGGCGTGGCAGATTGGAAACCAGGCGGTTGGCAACGCGACACTCGAGGCCGAGGGCAACGTTCTCATGGCCATGGTGCGGTGGGTGGAGGAGGGCGTGGGGCCAGAGACGGTTACGGGGACAAAGTTTGTGAATGATAGCAAGGTGCTCGGGGTTGAGTTTCGGCGGCGGCACTGCAGATATCCGCAGCGCAATGTGTTTCAGGGCGGAGATGCAAAGTCGGCGGACAGCTGGAGGTGCGTGTGAGGGTTCTTGTGGTATAGATAGATATATGTAGAAGTGAGGGTTGAGGGAGAATAGAGACGGTCACGTGGGTGCAAGTGTGTGCATGTGCATGCAGTGGTGAGTATGTGGCCAGGCAGATAGGGGGATTAATTGACGGCGGCTGGACGGGGCGGCATGATTGATGCATGGAACAAGCAAGTTGTGCATTGTGCATTGTGCATTGTGCAGGCCCAACTGCCAACAACAAGATTAATGAGGCGCCGTGGCTGCAGATGCTTGTGCTGCGTGCTGCATGCGAAGCGTCTAGTCTAGTAATTAATACTCTCTCTAATACCGTCTAGTCGCTGCACATGCTCTCTCTCTCCAATGGCGACGGGCCACATCCTGGATAGAACAAAGGAGAGAGAGCGAAAAAGCAGAGTGGCTAGCGAAGGGGTGGGTGGCTGGGAAGTGCTTGATTAATTAGTGTAAGGGGGGGGGGGGGGGGGGAGTGTGGTGGTTGACGTGCGCAGTGCTCAGTGCTCAGTGCTGGCCGGGTCAGCGGTACCTGAGTGAGTTGATGGCGCTGGCTACTGCTGCACCTCTCTCGCCATGTCAGCTTCTACCTTCGTAGTGGAGTGTAGTGCTATAATATAACAGCAAGCACAGTCATAGTAGCAATAACAACCACAACAGTAATTAATAGCAGTCATCCAAGTGCACACAACTGTAGATTCCACTGCTTGCAAGTCAGACCTCGGCAGACTGCCAGACGCGCCCGTGTCAGGCCTGCACGTGCGAGATGGATGGCGACGCGTCCCGGTCAACAACAACAACGAATTCCACGCCAGTCCCAAACAGGACCGTCAACAAACAAAAACCCGCCACCCTTGTCGCTCCACTGGGCCGATTATTTGAATTCATCCACTCCTGCCCACATCCCAATCACGTCCTTTTTCCTCTTCTTACCACCCACAACCCACAATCCTCGCAATCCCTACCTCTACTACCACTACTACTACTCACTCCACCATCCATCTGTTGCCAACGCATCTTCAATCAATCCCATCTTTCCTCCCTTTTTTAAAGCTGGCTGTCCATCTCCACTAGCTCTTCTTCTCTCTCCTCCATTCCCCTACCTTCTCATCAAGGAGCCAAGAAGTTCTTTCTTGTCTTCCTTTCGGATTGTTCTTGTAACGAACGGTTCGAGAGGCATTCAAGATCGAACCCCGCGACTCCCGTCAATCTGGACTTTGACGCCCGCGTCCCGATCCCCTTCAGTGTCTTCCCGTCCTCATACCGGAGTGACGCTGTCACTACACTGAAAGATTCAACCGTCAAGGTAGAGGGTAAGGTCGACCTACACCAGACGACTGCAGACGGACGGGAAGGTCACGAAGCTCACTATACCGCCGTCTCTGCTGCCTCTGCTGCCCACCCACCACCGCACAAAGACGACCACTACTTTGAAGAGACTGTCCACCACGTCGAGCGAGACCGCCACTCTGCTGCTGCTGCTGCTGCTGCTGCTGCTGCTGCTGCTGCTCCTCCAACGACAGAGCGCTTTGAAGAAGTCCACATTCACGAACAGCGTGAACGTCAACCCTCCTCGCACCACCGCTACGCTCACCACGTAGAGCTCACCAAGGAGCGCGACCAGTAAGTTGCAACTCACTCACTCCACTTCCAACTTTTTCCCAGCCTGTCTGCCCGCCTGCATGTCCCCCAAGCCTCACTCTGCACAAATCACACACGCACACACACCCCAGCCAAGCCAGGCCAGCCCCTTTCATTATTCTCACGCTAGCCACTCTGGCTTGTTTATCATTGTCCAGGCAACGCGTCTTCCTCTCACCGCGTTTTCTCTTTTTCCATCCTGGTCAAATAATCTTCCTTCCCTTTTGCCTGCTTGCTTGCTTGCTTGCTTGCTTACCCACTCATCCACTACTTGCCTCTCTTGCTAACATCTATTCTTCCTTTCCCCCTTCAGATACCGCGAACCCTACCGTCGATACACCGACGCCCAGATCCGCGTCGACAAGACCTCCTTTGATCGCGAGTACCCTGTTACCCACGGTCCCGCTACTCACTACGCCGGCTCCCAGCTCGACGTCACCGAACGCGAGTTCCGTCAACGCACCCGTCCCGTACAGGGTGAAGTTCGTGTAGACTCTGCTACCCGGACGACTGTTGACGCCCCCAAGAAGTACCGCCTTGATATGGGATATTACGACAACGAAGGTCATCACCACTCGTTTCGTCAAGGTCTCCACCGCGTCGCCGAACGTATCCGTCACCCCATTCACGCCTCCCACCGCGACCACCACCACCACTCCTCTCACCACGTCCCATCTGATCGTGAGGAAGTAGTCATCAAGGAATCCCACTCGGCCGCCTCTGCTCCTCGCGGCTCCGAGAAGCGTACCACCACCGTCTACACCCACGCTCCTGCTCCTGCTCCCGCTGCTGCTGCTCCTGCTCCAGCGTCTGCCCCTGCCCCCGTCGTCGTTCAAGCTCATCCCGTCGTCGTCGGAGCCTCTGCTTCTACCGCTTCAGCCATGGCTTCTGCAAACACCATCACCATCCCCTGCCACCACATCCGCATTGGCGACCTGGTCATCCTCCAGGGCCGCCCTTGCCAGGTCATCCGCATCACCACCTCGTCCCAGACCGGCCAGCACCGCTACCTCGGTGTCGATCTCTTCACCAAGCAGCTCCATGAAGAGTCGAGCTTCATCTCCAACCCGGCCCCCTCGGTCATTGTCCAGAACATGCTTGGTCCTGTCTTTAAGCAGTACCGTGTTCTTGACATTCGCGAGGACGGCTCCGTCGTTGCCATGACCGAGACTGGTGACATCAAGCAGGGTGTCCCCGTTCTGGACCAGAGCAACCTTCTCGCCCGCTTGACCGAGTCCTTTGACAATGGTCGTGGCAGCATTCGCGTGCTCGTCATCAACGACAATGGCAGCGAGCTCGCCGTCGACTACAAGGTCGTGCACGGCTCCCGTCTGTAGATGTGCTGCTTCGTATCGGTACCATTACCGGCGCTCGTGTCAATCTACACATACTGTATACATCAACACCAATGTGACATGAATGCATCTCGGAGTCGTTTCGTTTTGCCGCGTGGGCGTTTTTAATTTCTCATCACATGATCATGTCGACGAAGATGTTGCAACGGGCTTTGAATTTGGAAGGGTTGCCTTGCGTGCTAGGCCTGGAAAAGTGTCACTTTATAGTTGGATCGTGGATCATGGATCATGGAGGTCTTGGAGGAGGAGGAGGAGGAGGAGGAGGAGGAGGAGGAGGAGGACTAGTCGGATAGTATGGGATAGTTTATTATAACGATGCCGTCTCTTGGCCTGTCTGCTTGTCTGTCTGCGTGTCTGTCTGCTTGTCTGTCTACTTGTCTGTCTGCGTGTCTGTCTACCCGTCTGTGAATTGCAGTTCCGCTGTGCCGATGCAGTGTGCTCTTTGCGGCCTGCCCCACGTGGCTGTCGATTTGTTGTGTATGTCGTTGCACGCGAGTACGCGAACACGCGTCTGGATGCCGGATCGGGTTAGAGGTTGCTAGTGCCTGGGGCTGAAAGTCGATCAGCACTGCGCACTATTATAGGATAGATAGCTCGTCAAGTTTCTAGTAATTTATATCTGGTCTAGCCAGACAACAAAGAGTCCGGCGAGCGAAAAACCCTGGTTTACATACAGCTGGTTCCAACAACTACTGGAAATCCCTCACCCGTGCCCTGCTGACCAAGCCGAGTAGTAGCTCGCAACCCACGACCCGATGCAAGTGCCCTCGCGATGAACGGTTGACAAACATCGATAGCGCCATGGGGCCATATTCCCCTTCTTGCACGAAGTAAGGTCGGACGGATAATTATATAAAAGAGCATGAAAGTACTTACTGACTTGAAACCAGCAACCAATTCGCTTTTGTCCTTGTAAAGAGTAGTAGTATTTGGGACATCATCCATCCATTCACCCACCTACAAGCAAGCCATCCACCGCCCACCCAACGCTCCGCAATGCGCACACCTCGCCATGTCTTCACGGCGGCAGCCATGCTCCTGCTAGCCACGCTCGGCACCTCCACACCCGCCCAGCAGCAGCTCTTCCCCCGCGGCCCCTCCGCCGGCTGCGGCACGAAACACGCCTCCGGCCTGCACACCAACCTGCCCTTCCAGTCCGGCGGCCTGGACCGCACATACGCCGTCTACGTGCCGGAAAACTACAACGCCGACCCGTCCAAGCCGCGCAAGGTCGTCTTTGACTACCACGGCCGCAACGGGAGTGGCGAGGGGCAGTACAACAACTCGCAGTATGTTTCTCTGTCTTTCTTTCCCTTTCCCCCTTTTCCCCCCTTTCTCCCTTTTCTCCCACCCGTCTCCAGAACGCATGTCCACCACCACCACTAACAACCACGTCAGATACTTTGCCTACCCCACCGGCAACACCTACCTCGGCGTCTACCCGTCCGGCTACCCGGGTAAGAACGGCGAACCCGCCTGGCAAGGCGCCTCCTACGCCTACCCCTCCATCAACGACACCCAATTCACCACCTCCCTGCTCGCCCACATCGCGGCAAACTACTGCATCGACCTCTCCGCCGTCTACGCCTCGGGCAAGAGCAACGGCGGCGGCTTCGTCGACACCCTCGCCTGCTCCGACGCCGGCGACGCCTTTGCCGCCTTTGCCATGGCCGCCGCCGCACTCTACACCGACAACAGTCTGAACAGCTGCAAGGGCGAGAAGTCAGGCAAGCGCAAGCGTCGCGCCATCATGGAAGCCCACGGCGACGCTGACGGCACCGTCGCGCCCGGCGGCGGCATCGGCAACGGCGGCACCACGCCCAACATCACCACCTGGACCGGCTGGTGGGGTGTGCGCGACGGATGTGCGGTCGGTGACGCGGTGCCCGGGACGGATAACAAGGGGTACAACACGACGACGTATTCGTGCGGGGCCGGGCTGGACGGCGTGGTGAAGCAGTATTGGGTGTATGGCGAGGGGCATTGCTGGCCGTCGGCAAAGGGGAATACGACGGATGGGACGCGCGGGTATTGTGGCGTGCATGTCTTGAATTATACGCCTGAGGTTATTGGCTTTTTTGAGCGGTGGACGCTGGCGAATGCGCCGGGGAATTGAACTCGTTGCGGTGGGAGGTAGGACTTTCAGGGGCTTCATGTTGCATAGTGAGTGGATGAGTATGGCTGTTTACTCCTTCCTGCTACTATCTATGCTTGACCTCGAATGTATCACGGCAGGAGCTCAGCCCTATCCTGTGCAAACGGAAGGTACATCAATGCCTAGATACACGGCCTGCTTCAATCAGCATGTCCATGTCTTACACCATCACTAGCCATCATCCCCCAAAATGCCCTGTCCATAGTCAATATACATTACCCCAGCCCATCCACTCGTTCACCACACACCACCATCACTATCACCACCACACCGCTCCTCCAAGCCCCCAACCAAATGTCACGGAACGCAAAACCCGCATCCACAGACCTCCCCCTGCTCAACCCCGACCCACCCCTCCTCACCATCGCCAACATCCTCGACAAACACGGCTTCCCCACAAAATCAGTCCACGACAACTTCTCAGACAACCTCCTCCTCCCCAACACCACCAGCCCAACATCCGCGCCCGGCTTCGCAATCCTCCGGGGCTCAAGCCCGCTCCTCCGCCCCCCGCGCCCGACGCACCACCGCCTCATCTACGCCAGTATCCCCAGAGACATGCCGGACCTCGCCGAATCCAGCCGTGCCTTCTGTAATCCCCCTCGTCCGGTTCGGCATTTGATCGCCGTCTACGAGCAGACGGATGCGACGCTGTGGCTGCGCGATGCCGCGTTCTGCTTCCTAGGGTACTACGTCATTGTTAGCTTTCGTCGCACCATCAGGCAGCGTTTTTTGACTGGCTGGGTGCGCAAGGGAGGGTCGAGCTGGGGGGAGTTGCATAGGGGGCGTGGTGGGCGGTATGCTAGGGTTTTGCTGGAGAGGGTGCGCGAGCCGGTGCGCGCTGTGGTGTCGGCGTCGTCATTGTCATCATCGTCACCGGCAGGGGCGACGGCACGGAAAGATGAGGATGGTGCTGCTACTGTGCCTGACGACTATGAAGCCTCCACGCCTGACCACGACGCCGAGCCACAGCCCTCGCTTGACATGTCCGGCGAATTCAGAGAAGGCGTGATGGCGTTTGCGGCCATGATGGAGGTCTTCCTACCCTTTACCGACGGCGTGGTCCAGCTGAGCAGATTCATGCAGGAGGCGAGGCGGAAGCGGAAGTGTAGCAAAGCAGTAGATTGCACGAGGAGTGCTGCTCGGCTGCCGGATGCTGTATCCACGGGCTCGGAGGAGAGGGAGGTGCCAGGGGTATCGAAGATCCTCTTGGGGACGATAGAGCTGCCAGGGGGACGAGTATCGAGGGTATTCTTTCGCTCGGAAGACCTGGCGGAGGTATCGAGGATGCTTATCGGGACGGGGGAGCGGTTGGGGGTATCGGGGGTCCTCGAGCTACCAGAGGCATCGGCGCTCATGAATGCAACCAAGACGGCGCTCTCACATAATACGCATTCTGCACCCCGGTGTCCTTGCACGTGCGCGACTGTGCAGGACGCCTCGGATAGCGATGAGCCGCTACTGCTGCGAAGACAAAGGAAGGATAAACAGAGAGCTCGTCGATAGCTGGATAGCTAGTCTTGTAGTACGTAAGGTATACATGTATATATACATAGAATCATACTCAAACCACCATCACCACCACAACCACCATCTCACCCCTGACCCCTAACCCAGTGAAGCCCCCTACAACCTGCTCACAAGCTTATTCCCCTTGGCCACAAGCGACGCCTCAAACTCCTCCTTCGTCGACGCATTCCACTTGGCATCGTGCTTGCCCAGCCGCGCCTCCTTGCCCGGAAAGGCAATATACAGCACATCCCGCTCGCCATGCCCGTTGTCCCCACTAACCGAGTCGTCGCCAAAACACAGCTGCGCCATCGACAGCGAGGCCTCGCCCGTGACTACGCCGCCGTTGACGTCGCCCCAGATACCGTAGATCTAGCATCACACACTCCTGTCAGCCACACACATCCCAAGCACACAACCCAACCCAACCCAACCCAACAACAACACAAGAAAAAAGAAAAACTCACCAGCTTCCCCCCACAAACAACAGCAACAACACTCAACGGCTCCACCCCATGACTCTGCGGACTAAACTCCATCCCCTCCGCCCCGGAATTCCCAAACACCACATACGGATGCACATGCGCGTCCAGATCCGCGATCCCGTACTGCGCCACCGTATCCTTGAACGCCGTCTCGCTCTGCTGGCTCCCGTCGTTGCTGCACCGGCCCTCGGTCGAGTGTTGGCCGTCGCAGTCGATGTCCATGTCTGCGTAGCCTCCGCTTTTGCTGGTACTGCTGCTGCTGCTGCTGCTGCTGCTGCTGCTCTTGAGATACATTACGTTTGCGGTCGTGTCGTGGCAGTATGTTACGCTGGGGCTGGAGCCGCCGTAGGAGGAGTCGCCGAGTCCGACTTTGAAGTTTGCGGACATGCGGTTTGAGGGCTTGCAAGGGCCGGATTTGTGGGTGTCGTAGAAGGCTTTTACGTTAGCCGGGAGGCGGATTGCTAGGGTGGTGGTGGTGGTGAGGGTGAGGGTTAGGAGGGTTAGGAGGGTTTGGGGGTGCATTTTTGGTTTTGGGGGTTGGTGAAGGAGTGTGTGGGTGAGTGTGCGGATGGATGGGTTGGATGGATGGGTTGGATGGATGGATGGAAGAGTGAAAGAGTGAATGAGTGTATGTGTAGAGAATGTGGTACCTGTCCGCTTTGCCTTCTAGGACTCGAGCTACGGCGCTTTTGACATATATATATATACACAGGTACACTCACGACTCACGCACACACACACATAAAGCGGGGCCGTCACGTTTACGTTTCGTTTCGTCTTCTTCATCTTCATTTTTCTTTCCCACGCAGGCCAGCTGGTTTCCGAATCGTTTCGAGAACGTGGGCTTCCCTCATCAATTACCCGCTTTGTTCGTCTGTCTCGGCCTGTTTCCCCACACATCACACCCGCACATCCCAGCCTTGGGAGGATTAAAGCTTATAAGAGGAAAGAAATACGGGTGGTGGTATGTCACTGGTTTTGTAGGATGATGGATGGCTAGGATGGCGGTGTTAGTTGGCCTTGCTTGAGCCACTGCTTGATACTGGACACTGGAAAGACGGCGTCTATGCTTGGTTGTGGACAATTTTTCCTTGGCAAAGGGCATGTGCTGTGCATGAACGCTGGTATGGGCGTAACTTTGTTTTCTGTTGTGTCGTTGGGAGATGTACACACACACACACGCACACACACAGTTTGGTTCTTGCTGAATCGCGGCTGTAGGAGAGTGGTGGGGAACTAATTAAACAGAGGCAGAGTCTCTCACAATACAGTATACAATTACCCACGCCACACTCCTACACCTATAGTGTCGGCCATCTCTTTGATTTTTAGATGGACGTAATGGTAATGCTAGGAAACCCCGGGCGCTAGTGAGTGTAATGTCTACCGTCTGGTCTTGGCGGCCATGTAAACACAAGTCTATAGCCCTGCCCTCACGCTCCCCCCTCTCCTCCTGCCCCTCCTCCCCAGGGGCTATAACCATCCCGATGCCCTCAGCCAACATTCCCGACAACAACTGTATCACCTCTACAAACCGACCGTGATCCGGGAAAGACGATGCTCAATCCATCATCCGAGCGTCTGCACGCGCGCCCCGCCCAACCACGTTTCAACACGATTCGTCTCCGCGACTAACCGCAATAGGCAAGTATAATACATCAACGTGAAACGGTGCGCCAACAGGGTGCTGCTATTGTTCAACCCTGGATCCCCCGGGCGGACATGAGCGGCGGGCGCTTCACCATTGTTTCGTTTGCCAGGACGTCCCGGATGTGTGAAATAAGCAGGAGCGGCGGGATCCAGCAGGATGCTGTTTGTGATCTGAGGCTTGGCTTGGTGTGATCGCAGGCGTATCTGCTCGTGTGGCACCCTCATAAATTCTGCTGCGGGAGGCGTTGCCGTTGGGCCTCCCGGCTTGGCCTGGCCTGGCTTGATGGAAGCTCTTATCGTCAAGCCGCTGATGCCATGATACATTGTCCAACCGACGACGGCCTCGATGACATCCACTGATGGCCGTTTTGACCGGAACGTGTCTCCCTTGCCAGATGTCCAAGCACCTGGATGTACGGCCAGGAGCAACCCCAGGAGGTCAAGGTCCGCAGAATTCGCTCTCCTCTCTCCGCAATCCGGATTGGACCTGTGGGCTCGCTTAGGTCGCCAACTCCAGTAAGGAATGCACGCATCGACTTCCCGTGCTTGACAAACGACTGCACGAGCTCGTCGTCCGACGGTCGGTCTAGGTTGATGACGACTGGTCGTCCAGAGTCGGTATCAGACGACGAGTCGTCGCCGTTGGTCTCGGTACCCTGAGGCCATTGGAAAGTCGAGTACGACCAGAGCACCAGAGACGCTAGAAATATCGCGGCTGGCTCGTAGAAGCCGGCCGCCGAATATCTGCCAACGTGCCAGAACAATACTCCAGCATGTATCATGGCCAGTCTGGCCTTATACTGGTCATGTTGCAGCCACTTGTGGATCTCCCGGCGTGTCTTCGCCTCGTCTGTTGCACTGCTGAAAGGCTGCAGACCTGCCCGGTGGAACGCAAGCTTCGAGATGCTCTCGTAGGGAGTCAGCAGCACGATTCGCGCCAGGTGGAGATGCAGAACCGTGGGATGTTCCATGCCCGACGCAGCCCCAATGACGCTGTTTGCACTCCAATGGAGGACATCTAGACAGTCGCATGCCGCGTTTCTCCAAGCCCCGAAAAGGGGTATCCCGGGCAGCCATCTTTCTGTACCGGACGGCGAATCTTGCATCCCATCTTGGCCGGAGAACGGAACGTAATGTGACAATGGCTGACGCACGTATCTTTCAACATCCCATGTTCTCTGAAAAACTGCATGGATGAGTAACACTCGGCTGAACTCTCCTGCGGTCGGGTGAATGTACTTTTTGACATAGAGCGCTTCTGACGCTGCCACTAGAGTGGGCATTGGTGTCGACATCTTGTAAAGTTCTGACCATTCTGTAGCGGACTTTGCTTCAAAAACAACTTCTTGACATGGCATCGCCACCGTCGCATGCTCAAGGGAGAGCAAGGGAGTCATGTCGAACTGGTATGCGAGCATTGCGTCAACCAGCCAAATCCCATAGCCCGTACGTCTCAAGGATTCTCGATGAGCCCACCGAGTCCAGAAACTTGGGTTGGCCTGGAGCTCAGAATTGTCTTCAGACGACGTCCAGGTCTCCTTACAGAAATCACATAACACTGACCGTTCCTTCTTTGCTTCTCGTACAAAGCGTTTATTGCCAGAATACATCATGCATACGTGACCAAGAAGCCGTGCCTGTGTGAGCTCTAGCTCCTGAGGTGCGCAGCGATAGTAGAGATCTGGGTTTGACAACAGCAGGAGGCATCTTCGGAGAAATTCTTGGAATGAGATGGCCAGGGGACGCAGGTCCGAATTGGACGAAAACTGGGCTCCTGCTGTAGCTAATGCTAAGGGCAGGATCCAATGCGTATGGGACAATTGCATAGTCGGTACATGGAGGATGGGCATCAAAGGATTAAAATGGTCAAAATATTGGTCGATCAGATAGTTGATGAGCTCCCGTGACGGCAGAATCTCGCTCTCAAATCGACTTTGGAACCAGCTGGACACACATGTGTCTTGGTAGCTCTGGCATAGTTGCATGTACATGTCATCGTTGATGAACGACTTCGCGGTGATTGGTGCAGGCATGTCTGGGAGCGCATAACGTTGATGGTCCTCGTTGAAGATATCAGCGGGCGGTGTATGCGATTCGTCCACGGTCAGTCTTCGTCTTTTCACACGGGATTGTCTGCTGCCACTGCCTTCGACATAGTATCGAGCCGTGCGATCGTTGATGACCAAACTTGTGCTACCCACCGGAGTTCCCGAATCAAAGACAGACGTGTCGACATTGGGTGAAGCCGTTACATTCGGACTTTGCAGATTATTGGGCGAGAGATAAAATTGGGCGCTCATGGTGGATGGTGCCACTGCCATTGGCGGCAGCGTAAAGTCCAAGTTCATTTGGTTGCTGTGAGCACCCTGACCTACATCCATCCAGCTGATCAGGTTTGGTGGAGACATATCGACCGGTTGTGAATCATGACTTTGAGCGTCGCGATGTTGGTCGTTTTCGCCAGACTCGCATTGGGCCTCATTCAAAGACCCTGGAGAAGCATAGTTGCAATCCAACGCCTTTCCATCGCATCTGCGACAAGGATGCTCTCCAGTACATTTCGTCTTGGCAGCAACGCAGTGAACGCAGGCTTTTGGCACCTTGACGCCTCCCTGGCGCTGTGGGTCTTGATGGGTCAGGCTGTGTCGCTTCAAGGAGTCCAGTCGAGCAAAGCTTTTGTTGCATATAACGCATTGATGGGAGTGATCGCCTTGCACATGGCTTTGCTCATGCCGACGAAGGTGTGTTAGTCGCCCAAAAGCTTTGTCGCATTGCGCACAACCATAAGGCCGGTCGCGCTCTCGTGAAGGCTCTGAAGTGACAGAGCCCTCATCCATCGTGGGCCCATGCGTCGTGTCGTGATAGATCACGACGCGCAGTCTGCTCGACGACTCGATGTATCAGAGACAAACTTGTGGAGAAAGTTTGCGGGGGATGCGGGAATTGCTGCCGATAATCCGGGGTGCAGGTGAAGCTGCAGCAGGAGTCCTGGGTAGGTAATTAAGTCAATAATGCTGGCGTCATGGTCCGGGCTTCACGTGCGCTAGTCAGTATTCACGCCTGAGGCTGCTAGAAGTGACTTGATTGCATCAATACCAATATCAGTATCGATGTGGGTGCCCTCGTCGAGGCATTGATCCCCATCATTGCATTCCCACAGATGACTATCCAATTCGAACAAGAGTTTTCACCTCTATCCTATTGTCCCTTTCTGCATTTTCGACTTTCAACTCGCGACTAATAACAGAAGTAGCTTCAGCATCACAGCTACTGTACCCTCCCACGCCTAGGACTTGCGCCTCCAGTGTGGCTTCTTTTCAAGGTTGTAATGCCTCTTGTATCCGACCTTCACAGGCCTTCCCTTGATCTGCGCCTCCCACGCCTGCTGGAGTTGTTCCCATATAAACTTGTGGCCTCTGTGGGCATCTTCCTTGCGGTACACATGGTCGAATTCGCGCATATCCTCCTCCCAGTCCCACTTGCTGTAGTACTCTGAGCATGGCGTGATAAGGTGTGAGCAGGCTGTAAACATGCCTAGGCCCTTCTGCAAACTGACAGCATGAGCGCCATTGGCAAAGAAGTGCGGAAGAAAGTGTACATAGATCTGCGGAGCGGGACTGCGTATAGCGACGTCTTTACCCGGGAGTGGAGGATGTTTGATCTTTTCGGTGGCAGAAACGGCGAGAAATTTGGCAATGACCGGATGATCGTGCTGATAGCTGGACCAGTAGTAGATGTGCTGGTCAAATTCTTCGTACGGAACCAAGGGTGCATATTTTGGTGTTGTTTTTGGTAGACTGTTTGGTTGGGACTTTTGGAGAGACTCGTGTGAGACCTTGAGTTTGACAATCTTGCCTTTAGTAACGTCGAAATCGATGTGCCTTATGCACTTGGGCTCCGGTTTGACCTTATCACAGTCGGGGCTTTCGCGCTTCAGCCGCGGAACGATTTGTTGTGTGGAGATCGGCTCGGATTCTGAGCTCTCAACGCCAGCGAGCTTCGCTCGCGTGACATTGGCCAGAATAGAGCTGCCCTCCTCGTCAAAATTCGGAATTCCGGCGTCCTGAGTTGCCATGGAGATGATGGGATGGGACCGAAAGAACGGATGTCTTTCTGTTCAAAAGCGAGACGGTAGTAGAGAATTTGGACGGAGTTTATGTGTAGATCTGTGCTCTAGCTCTTCACTGTAGAGTGACAACAGGAACCAGTTCACCACCGTCCTCACAGAGCCTTCACTGGGTCTTGTCTGGGCTTAAGCTTTGTTGTGCATTGTTCGCCGCGAGCGTGAACATAACAGCTCCATTGAGAAAACAATGTCTGCGTCACGTCTACCTGTAGCTCACCACAGCCCGCGCTTTTTCTACTGTCCATGATATTGACCAGTTACAGCCAGAATGTCCTGGATATGCAGCGGCAATGCTGCGTCATAGTAAAGAGAAACCTCGCAATCGTCTCATTCCACTTCAACCAGGCTGTTAGTTATGGGACCCATCCGCGAGAAGGGCCACCAGCAATAGATGACCTTGCCTTCAATGAGTGCCAACGGTATGGGACCAAACAGTCGAGAATCGAGTGAAAACGCCAGATTGTCGCCGGCTACGAAACAATGGCCTGGAGGCACCTATTGGGATTCAGTCGATGGTCCGGTGGTAGACATGTAAGCTCCACGCACCTGTATCATTGCATCGCTGGGGCCATCTGGGGAGTTTAGCATGACAAAGTCGCCAGGCATACCGATGACCCTCTTTAGTGCGCCGTTGCGATATTTGACCGGGTGCTTGAACGTCACGACATCGCCAACCTTCACACCGTAGCCTTGTCTGTATCTTTTGGAGACTATGACACCGTCACCTTTGAAATACAGCGTTGGAATCATGCTTGCACCCCATGGGTTACAGGGTGAGTAGCAGTAGGTAGTGAAGAAGTGACTGAACAGGAGAAGGTTCGTGGTGGTGATACAGAGACCAAATGTTGTCCGACGACCATCAGATCTGCGTAGAGGGGGAACAGAGAATCTGAAGCGCTTTAGGAAAGACATTATGAAGACGGTCGATAGATGTGAAGGATCTGAAGACCTAGAGTATCACATTGATCGAGCTTTGCAAACGTTCGAGCACGCCGAGACCGAGATTCTCCCTGCTCCCATACTGCTCCCTACAAACTGATAACTCTACAATCAAGAGAACGACGGACGTGAAGCTACAGCACAGCAGAGCTCCAGAGCATGTCTATCAACGATACCCACAGCCTATCGCAGCCTCCAACATGAGCAACGATCCCCAGCTCCAGGAAAAATTGGCAGACGCTGTAAGAGGTTCTTCCGAACCACCACACACCCCGAAATCCCAATACTGACCCTGTTTCAACAGACCTCATAACCACCTACCATGAACTCAACCCAGACACCATCGACGAGCTGGTCGAAGAGCCGAGCCCACTAGAGTTCATGCGCTATGTCGCGCGCAACCGACCCTTTGTGATCCGCCGCGGCGCACAGGACTGGCCTGCATGCAAGAAATGGAACGCTCAATACCTGCGCGCCGCCATGGGTGAGCAGGAAGTAAACGTATCCTGTACACCACACGGGTGCGTCACCACAAGACAACTCTCTCCCCTCGAATCCTACCACGAGAGGTCTTCACTTGGAAGCAGCACGTCTTGTTAACACAGACCCCCAACACACAGCAACGCAGACGCCCCTCTCCACGACCCATCCTCCTCAGATGATCCCCTCTTCGTCAAACCCCACGAATACATCTCGCCCTTCTCGCGCGCAATCGCGGACATAACCGCACAATCGCACGCTCCCCAGTCCGCCTCATCCTCCACACATTTGACCCGCTACCTACAAACGCAGAACAACAACCTCCCCAACGAATATGCGGCGCTAGCACCCGACATTCCAGCCTCAATCCCATTCGCGCACATCGCCCTCTCCAACCCGCCCGACGCGGTCAATTTCTGGCTCGGCAACGCACACAGCGTGACGGCGCTGCACAAGGACAACTACGAGAACATATACGTCCAGGTCGTGGGTACAAAGTCGTTTGTGCTGCTGCCGCCTGTTGATGCGCCGTGTGTGAATGAGCGTGATTTGCCTGCTGCTACGTATACACCGTCTCCAGGAGCACCGTCAGAAACCCCCACTGCCCTCACACCCACCCTCGATAGCCCACCATCGACAGTCCCAACAGCAACGTGGGACCCAGACACACCGACAGAGTACACAACACGCTTCTCGCACCTTGCACGGCCGATGCGCGTGCGACTTGCGCCCGGGGACATACTATATCTGCCCGCGCTGTGGTACCATAAAGTCAGCCAGGAGTGTTCGGGTGAAGGGATCTGTGTGGCGGTAAATTACTGGTATGATATGGAGTTTGCGGGTGGGTTTTGGAGTATGTGTGGATTTGTGCGTGGATTCGTGAAGTCTTTAGGATGAGAGAGGAGTGGATGATGGAGTGGCAGGGAAGGAAGGAAAGATGGGGTAGTACTGGCAGTGATATGTACGCATATCGGAGATGATGAATGAGATAACAGATGAAGAGTTCTGTGAACGCGAAAAGTTTAAAAAAAAGTCTTGCGAGTCCACCTGCCCGTGTCCTGAAGGTGTCAGGCATGCGGTGTCTGGATCTATATCTAGGGTATCGTTACACCTCGCGTCCAGATTCAAGTGCCATACCCGGCTCAAACGCCATCCCAATGCAGTACCTCCTTTTTCCACCTCTCTACTTCTTATACCTGATCTTGACACCGGCCCCAGTCACACTCGCCCACACACTCTCCCCAACCCGGGTCGGCAACTTTCGCCCTTTAAGCCTCTGATCCACCAACCATAGGCCCACCACAAACTCTTCTTTCGTCAACCTGCCAACTTTTCTTGAATCTACCAGATCCCACACCTCTTCAAGCACGTGGTCCTGCAGCCGACTTCTGGCCCAAATGTCCCTGACCACGAGATCCAGGACGTCTGCCGATTCATCCCCAAAGCGTTTATGCGGCTCGATGGTCGCGGGACTGATAAGCAACCCTTTGTTGGCCGCCCATACACCTTCGTAGCGCTTGCGCTCGTGTATTGTAATGGCATCGCGCCAGCGCTTGCGCGCACCTTCGTGGTGCTTGTTTGGGTGTTTGCGCCGAAACATTCCCTTGCGCTTGTGATGATTATCGTCAGAGCTGGATTCCGAGCTCTCATCTTTGCGCATGGTCTGGCGCAGCTTTCCAGGTTGCTTGATGGGACTTGGCGTCCGCGACTTGTGACCAAAGAAGGTGTGGTGCATGTGGCCTGGCCTTTCGTGGCGACGGGGTAGAGGAGGTGCGGCGGCCCGGGCCGGGGAGATTTGGCGGGAGGGATTCTTCGATGATGCGAGGGCGGCGCCAACGATCGCGTTGGCGAGAGAGTCGCCGGTCATGTGGGCCGTGATACGTTGGAGATTTTCGCGGCCATAGGCAGAGTTTGGAACGGACGTTGGTCGCATGTATGGCTCGGCTGTCATTTGGCGCTGAAGGGAATTTTGTCTGTTCAATCTATGTGGCATGAGTTTCGATGGACTGACGGACGTTGCTGTCCCTAGAGCGGTTTGTGACCGTCGTACCCTCCGCGGTGGACGAGGTTCTGGTTTTGACTTTGGTACGTGCGTTTCCTGGACCTCGTCGACAGTCTCGGCGGCAGAAGCGTAAGATGAGACAGGCGATATCTGCTCCCCTCCATCTGTGGCAGGTCGAAGTGCTGATATATTTATTGGATTGGATTGGGGGACGTGGCGCGTCGGTAGTACCTTTTTCTGCGAAGCTGCCTGTTTCTCACTGTTCATACTCTTTATCGACGACAGCCGCTGCGGCTTAGGGGCCGGGGCCGGGGCTGAACTACCCGTCATTGACTGGTTGACTTCTTTAGCTGCCTCGCGAACGCTCCTCTCATCTTCCACCTTCTTGATGGAGAATGTCCTTCGTGGAGTTGGCGAGAGTATCACTGGTTGAGGAACGGTGTTTTCCTCCGTACCTGGCGTATCAGACTTGGAACCATCAGAACCATTAGTCGATCTAGCTTGCTCGAACATTTTCACTAGCGCAGATGTTGGAGGTATAGATGTCTCGTCGGTGGGTTTCTCTTGTGGAGGCGGCGGCAAGGTGATGCTGCCTTGTGATGCGATTTCCTGCTGTCTGATGACATCGGAAGAACTCTTATGCGCTGCTGCCTTCTGTGCAGCGCTATGTGCGCCACGCATTGTATCCCTCATATCTTCGCCCGCACGGTGTGTCTGACTAGGTTTCTGTTGTAGCTTATGAACCATAGGAGTATGTCTGGCTGCTGCCAGCGTGGCCGCAATATTGGAAGGAGAAATGGTCCTACTGGCTGCCGGATCGACCGGGAGGTGTAGCATATCTGTTGACGAAGGATTTCGGGGTTGCCATCGCGACGGAGAGGGGCTTGCGGTTGAATGTCTTGTGCTGCTTCCTGTACTCTGTCGTGACAATGATCCCACGAATGAAGGGTTGTATGTAGGCGAGCTCTGTTGCGAACCGGCTTTTGTAGCAGCTATGAGTGCTCCATGGGCCCCCGCATAGTTCGGAAAGGTTGGCTTTGGTTTCAGTGGTGGCTTTGCAAAGGCCGTGGAGGCACCCTTTAGAGCAGCGCCAGGCGTGTTATGGGGGACTGTAGACCTTGAAGGGGACGTAGTCGTTGATGACGGCACACTGCTGATGCTCGTCATGAAGTCATTTGGTGGATGGGCGTCGGTAGGACAGAGGCAGCTTGACTATGAGCCTATTGGCTTATGAGCTTGTGGGCTTATGAGCTTATTGCATTGACCTTTCTGTGTTGTGTTGCCGTATCTGTGAAGCGATACAGGTGTAGAGGGCGTAATCTACGCAAAGCGAGTGGATTGGAAGTGAGGTAAAGAGCGTGTGATCGAGTGGAATGTCGAAGTTAGCCCTGACCCTGAAGGTTACCTATATTACATGCATGCATGCAGGTCCACGGGTGGGCGACAAGACGTAAGCAGCTGCGCATTCAGGGAGGCTTGACCTTTGTCTCGTGGCTCGTCTCGCCCAGCTGATGAATGGATGCCTGAGGTTGGCACCAAGTCCCCTAGCGTGATCCACCCAGGCAGGTAATTAATAGTAATTATAATTAGGTGTTGGTCATTGTCATCACATCATCCATGAGCGAATGTATGAACATTTTACGGCCCTAGACGAATCGTTCATATATAGTTGCAATCTAACCTATCAACCGTTCCTCCGTACGTACTACTCAAAGCCCAAACACACTTAAGCCGGCTTCCCCTGCTTAATCAGCGTGCTCAGCGTCTCATTCTTCAGCGTATACGCCGCGAATTCTGGATACTTTGCAACCAGAAGATCGCTGACTAGCCTCGCAAACACCACGCCGCCATGTGCGTTTAGATGCGTGTTATCCGTCGCGTTTAGGTTGTATGCGTGCGCCGCGTCCGGACCTAGCGCGTTGACATATGCCGTCGAGGCCTTGTTCAGATCGATCCAGCGGGCGCCCGTGTTGCTGGCGGCGATCTTGGTACGGTTGACAACGTTTGCGAGGTCTTCGATTACTGCTGGTGGGGTGGCAGATGTGAATGTGCGGCGCGTGAGAGATGTTACGAGGATCTGTTTGTGTCAGTGCGCTGTCCGTACGAGTATCATCAACGCTGTAGTTTGCTAGAGGATACACGTACTGGGGTGGCTCCTGCTGAGACAACTTCCTTCACAAATGTTTCAAGGTTTGTCTGGAACTGGTCGAGTGTGACGCCCGAGGTTGACTTCTGGTCGTTGTGGCCGAACTGGATGGTCACGTAGACTTGGTAGCTGGCCTTCTGGCTTTTGATACTGGACAGGACGTTCGCCCAGTCGCCGCCGGCGCGGAAGGAAGCTGTCGTAGCGCCCTGGACACGGTGTCAGTGCTGGACAGTAGGAAAAGAGACACTAGAGGCCCCGTGGAAGTACGCACGCTATGCCCATAATTCTTCCCAGCGGCTCCGTTGGAAAGCGTAGTGCTGAGGAAGCCATCGCCCCAGCCTCCCTTTGGTGCTGTGGTAGAGTCTCCTGCTAGCAACCAGTACGGTGGTAGTGCTCGTGCCTGCAAACTGTCTCGCGGACGAGCAGTAACCACAGAAGATGCAGCAAGCAGAGAAGAGAGGATGGAAGTAAAAGAAAGCATTTTGTTTTCTTGTCAAAGGAGTTATAGGTATGATTAGTGTCTCTACGCTTGCGCGCCGTCTTTCTTTATACCAAGCATCTGTTACGGGATAGGCATGGGCAAGAGCAGGTTCCTTTGTCTGTGACGGCCATCATATTCCGGGGAGGACGATCCGTCTTCCATCTAGCCCAGACGACCGACAGTGCTTCGAGATGGATACGAGGTAAAAAGCATCGTTAGTTCATTAACCCGAAACTCCGACTCTACTTCTGCACTATGTGTATATTAACATACGCACGGCGGAGGAATTTCGGTCGAAAGGAACGAAGCGATTAACAGCTGATACACATTTGTGAACAAGATGCAGCCCGACTTGGGTGCGATCTTGTCTATGCAAGTATCCGTGTGCTATATCATCCAGGGGTATCATTGCGGGGTAAACCGTTCCTCGTCCAACAGCGTCTTCTCTGTCCAACATTCCTGAATCCATTCCGTAGTGACCATACGGGGTACTTTCGTCTTGTGAGATATTTGCGACCGAATGTCTTTGAGCCGTGATCGGTCCTTGCCGATCACCACATGAGTGATGTTGCAGTCGTCAAGATCGCCGCAAGTTCGTCCGCTACCGAATCTTACAATGTTCGTAGCGAGAAACATGCTTAATTTGTCCTCCTTCCCGGTGCTACAGACGTCTTCATCTTCCATAACTGTATCACTCGAGCCGTTGTCGAAGTAGACCACAACGCCACGAAATACGCACCCTGGCAAGCCACCCATGTCGATCTCATCGCCTTCCGCGTCATCAACATCCATGACTTCGTCGTCATCATCCTCTTCCTCCATCTTCGGCATTACTCTGAACAATTCTTTGAGACCGTCAGGTGTCAGATCTCGCGCATAGCTATCACCATACTTGTCAATATTATTGTCGGCTGAAAGCTGGTCCTCTTCGATGCCGAACAATAAATGGCTAGGCTCATAGGGCAGGAGATATTTCGGCCGACTAGCATCAGCATTGCTTTGGGCGATGCAGTCAAATAACCATAATGGGCGTACGACAGACCGATCCTGTCGCTTTTCGATAGCTGCTACAGCCAAGGGTCGTCTATCAGCAATGCATATGATCTTCTCGTCTCTGGCATTCGCAATTATATTGCCGCCATTTGACTTGATCAGCTGCTCGAGCTCAGCCTTGTTCCTCTTTTGTGGTTTCAGAGCCTCAGTGAGAACGTGGAACGTCATGCCCTCGAAAACTCTGGTCTGTGGACCTGCGTATGGTGTTTCTACTCTCTCGTTGGTACCGGCAACAATTAAAGGTCTTTTCCTGGAGCGTGTCGATCGTTGCTTCCTGTTGGCCATCAGTTCAAATTTCTTTTCTTGTTGTTCCTGTTCCGCATTGTGCTTCAAGTCCAGAAAGCCTTGGTACGTGAGAGCAGATTCCCAATCCTTGTCCAGTCGTAACTTCTTGAAGCGGGGAAACCTGAGCGTGAACTGTGTTCGGAATTGATCCGTAGGCGTGACGGATGCTGCTTTAACGGAAACCACGAGAGAGTCTCGGGGGTTGATGTAGACGTCGGGCCTCTCATATTGTTTATCCAGGCCTCCAAGCTCGATGAGATGTTTTGGTGGCTTCTTGGGATCCCATGTGACCCATTTACCCTCGGTTCGTTCACGAATCTCTGCGTAATCCTGCGCCGCGAAGCCACCTCCAACCTTGAAGAAAGAGTGAAAAACTTGTGTCGATAATGACTTTGGGCCACTATCAAATCGAAGTCCACACAAGAAGCTCGAGAGATTACCGCCTCGATGACCGGAACCATAATAGCCACCGATGACCACGCAATCAAGTTCTTCTCCAAACTCTGACATGTACTCAGGCTTGACCTTGACCCAGTCATCATTACGGCTATTCAGGCGATAGATAGACCGAGGATTCTTAATCACCAATCCTTCAGAGGAATCGGCCACAACCTTGCGAAGCTCTGTTTCGATTTCTTTTTTCGAGCTGGCTTGTTGGTAAGGATGAATTTCGAGGCGGTCTGGGACATTTTCAATACTTGATTCGAGGGCCCGTCTCCGATCGCGCAATGTATATTTGGTCAGCGGGGTATCGTTCAAGAATAGGCAGTCAAACACACGAAACACCGGTCGGTTCGTAAGGCCGTATGGGTTCTTTTGCTCGGACAATGCAGCGGTTTTCAAGGTACCAAATGGCACTATAGCTTTTTGCTCCATACTCCATGTGATCATCTCGCCGTCCAGGATAATATTACGTACCCCGTCCTTGAAGGCTTTCCTGAGGTGCCTGGTCAAGGCGCTATTCTCATCCTGAAGTCCATTGCCATACAGATAAGTATAGTCCTTCGCCTTCCTTGACCAAAAGTTGAACCGCACACCACCAGCAACAGATTCATCTTGAACCATGTGAAGCTGCATGCGCTCACCGTCTAGCTTTTCTTCGATCCAGAAAACGTTGTCATCTTCCGTAAGATGCATTTTGGACAAGACCTTGTCGAATGTGTGCTCTTGGAATTGTGCTAGCTGGGGTTGAAAGCATTGCATTAATGCAACACCAACTTCACTCCCTTGCAGGCGAAGGGTTGGATCATACAGCTCCCAGCAAACTCGACGAAGGCTGGATGATATGTTGAATAGTTGCTCAGCATCCGGATGCCAGATATCAAAAAAGGTTTTCTCTGTTGCGCCTACTTTCATTTGCCGAAGAATGATTCGGATGAGCCAGGTCATCTCCTCTGCGTTCATGTGACTGTAGAATTGCTGAAACAAAGGAAGTTGTTCCTCTTCTTTCGATATGGCTGACAGGCGGTTCAGCATTTCGTTGACGTCGCCTATCGTGTAAAGCCCAGGACTGGATCTCATTTGTCGGCCTTTAAGAACTTCATAGCAGCGTCCGGCAAAATCGCCTGCGTTAGCTGTCGTAGAGTTGCGCCCTGGGAGTTTCCAGTTGAGCATGCCGTATGCGCCGTCCGAATTCCTGTCTATTCGAAGTACCTTGATCAATATCTTCGCGATGGCCTTCTCTTTCAAGCCATACATGGAGCGATCGCGATCTTTCTCTGGTACAATCAATCTAAATGCCGGATATATGTCGTTGCCAACCTCATTTCTCCATCTCGAAATAAAGCGTTCAACGATGTTCCTTCTGACTTCATGCGGGCTTAAGTTGGCGGGGCCATGAGGTCCCTGTTTCCGCCTGGCCTGAACAGGACCTGTGGGCTTCTTCTTGTTTTCATTGAGGGGGTTGAACAGCGATGAGTATAACTCATGGAACGGCAAGGTCTTCGAGTGATTGTGAGGTCGGTTTGGGTAGCTAAAGGCAGTCAGACAGTCCGTCAAGATGCTGAGCGGCCAGCCTACTTTGTGTCAAGTTCTTTTAGATTCTCGCCAATATACTGTTTGCGTTCTTCTTCCGCAGCATCTGCGTCCTGCATCCGTATATCTCGGACTCGAGCCATTATGATATGAGGGTCGTGGTGGGGTACTCGGAGCGCTTATGGCGGCGAATTTGGGGACGCTGGCGTAGACTTCCAGGCGTGAACGTGCGCGCTCCTCACGTTGGGGCGGGAGTCTGTTAGCAGCAACATCGTATCACTGGTGATATTGTATATATGTCATTTGGCTATATGAATAGGCATCCATACTCGGCATTCAGAAGGCACACGCGCCGAGTTAAACCTTGAGTCGCGTGGAAACCACGCTAGCACGTGTATCTTCCGCATGGATCCATTTGTCCAGGCACGAAGTCGGATCATATCATCAATAATTCCTGATATAATGTCGCATTTATAGCATGTATAAACTGCTTACTAAAACATCACATGCTCAACATCCCTTCCTGTAATATTCATATCCTGAGGCGCTGCGTCGAGCGTGTAGTAACGGCTCTTCACACAAAGCTGGGTATTGACTGCTGCACAAATGGAGTCGTTCTCACCCAGGTCTCACATATAGGAAGAGGATTGCTACTCAGCAGTGGCTGCTTTTTGACCCAACGCAGAAGCTCTCCCGTCTCTATGATGGTGAGAAGCCAGATATTAGAACTGGTAGCACCAGGTGTCGTTCATTCGTATAATGATTTGATATTGCGTGTTCTACAGTCCACGGCATAGTCTCACCTACCATAACCTCTGAGGAAGAGAGACAGGGCAGCGATACCGCCCACAGAGGCAACGAACATAGCCAGACCTTCTTTCGTCGTCGTCAGATAAGCCAGAACCCCGACAACAACCTCATAACGTCTGAGTGCTTGGTAGCGGGACTGCCATTGCGGGTCTATGGAGAAAGGAGGGTTTAACCGAATGTCGTCTGCTTCCGGATCCGGATCCTGCCATGCTTCTAGTGGAGCCGTCACGGATAGCGCCACTGGTCTGTGGTCGGACGTGGGCTGCACAGCGAGACTTGTGTACTTCCTAAGTTGGAGCTGAGACGACTTCTTTGGAGGAGGGAGGTAAAGGCAGCGATCGCACCACGAAGGAAAACGATGTTTAGCCCATTGCCAGCTGCTATCTGCCCCAGTATTAGCCGCCATTGCTATGGGCGTGGCTTTATGCGATAGCTTGTAGGTCGGTGGGAATGTGATGGGCAGCTCCTCAAATCCATGACAAGTCCGGCCTGCCTTCATCTCACGAGTGAGCTGATCTTTGGCCAGGAGCTTTGCAAAGTGTACGGGGGAGGCCTCTGATTCCACGGCTTTTGGATAAGTCTGCCACGTCTCCGACTCGGGCGGAGCATCGCTTGTCCTGTAGTTCAGATCGCCGCAGAAAAATACATGCCCCCGAGCGTGATAAATGGCTTTCGGATCGTCACCATCTCGAAGGATCGGACGCGATTCGATTCCCATCTGCACGCTCTTGCTCGGGGCTCCTAAGTCATCGTTCACGAAGACTAGAGTGCGCACAATGGTCTTCCAATCCTCGTTCCGCCGCTGAACAGCTTCTTCCATAGGAGCCAAATGTGCAGCTATGAAGGTCAAATCTAGCTCTTGCGCGTCTGCTTCGTGCTTAAGGCCGAGTATAGCTCCGACAGCACCTTTGTTTCCCATATCCCAGAATCCAACTCCTGTCGCAGCCGACTGCACTCGAGTGATTTGCGGGACAATATGTTCTTTCGCATACACAACGAGGGCGGTCATTCCCATGTTCCTCTGGAAAACAGACTCGTAGCGAACGGAATCGCCTCCAAGATGATGAGCGGCAAGATGGACAGAGGTGTCGATTCGATCGAAGTAGGGGTTTAGGAATGATCCCCCAAGGAAGCTGTATGATATGGGCGCAATCTCTTGCAGTGAGATAGCAATAATATCGGGTAGCGCAGCATTCTTTGGTAAGGCATCAAAGAGATGCGGTGCAAAGGCCGATGGCTCCACTAAGGCTCGTCCACAATTGAACGTGATCAGGTATAGCTCGAGTGAAGACATCTTTGGACAAAGATGCCGGGTATAGATGCGACCAGGGCAGGTCGTGTTGCAATCATGGCTGTCGTGGATACAGGAGATGGATGCCAGTCTACCTAGTTATGGATACCAGTGACGTGTGTCCGGGTACTAAAATAGCGTACTAGGTACCTTAGTAGCTTGTTAGTGCTTCGGGAGACCCCACTTTTAACCTATTTCATAAATCAGTATTTCACGTCCAAAGGATTTCTATTCTTCTTTGACAGATGTTAGTATATGGATATTCTGGTAAAATGACAGAGTCTAGCTCAGATTTGTTCCACTGAACAATAATTCAATGAAATAATATTAGAATTGAAGGGGTATAGCTCCTTCCATCTAATATAGAGGAAGTTGAAGGGACAAAAATCGAATTAACATTTATGACGACGGGTATATATACTATGCGAATTGCCTACGTCGCCCAAGGCTTACGTCGATCTGACTGGGAGTACTATCTACAAGTACACGACTCCTCAAACTATTCGTTTCTCCCAAACTCAGATTATGAAGGTCTGGTAGACCGTACGAGGTTCTCTCCGACTGTTGTGGTATTTTGATCCCGATTTCCTTCTCCGTTGGACTAGTCGATAATATGGACTCCACCATGCCTGGTAGGCGGATAGAGGTGGCTCCCAGAGTCCGCTTCATATCTGCAAGGAGCACTTCCATCGGACAGATGTATGCGATTCTATTGCGCTCACAATACGCCAGTACATGACCACACACGCGCCCTGATTCATTATCAATGACCCAGGCTCCTGAATCACCACCCTCTTGTAAAAAGTCAGTAATGGAGCTCAGTCGATCGAGAAAAAATCTTAGAACATACCCCCAAATTCTCCACCTACCACTGACCAGCTTTTTGAGAAGGATCGTCTTTGGTATACACGCACCGAACTCATGACGTAGCCAGTCACTCCTCCCTTCAATCCGCTCGTCCGCCCAAAGCAGTGAACATTGAGACCTCCGATATCCTTCGACCCAGCAACCTCGCTCGGGTACTCGTCTTCTTCGGGTGTAAAGTTTCTCCGACAAACAGGATCCCGGAGCTGCGGACCGCCCTTTGTATCTCTCTTGGTGTAGTATCTACCACCTCCCTGAACAAGGTTGAAAGGCTGAAGTCGATCATCCTTGAGTTTCAGTAGCGCCCAGTCAATCTCGTGGACAATACCATTTTGAGTCCATCGTCGAACACCAGAGGAAGCGTGTACATGACCCAATGTAAAAGAGTCCAGGTGATCTTCAGGTGCGTCTTCATCATTGGGGAAGAAATCTTCATCGACATCTTGAAACGCTGGCTGTGTGATGTATAATTCATCTCCATCGCCAACGTCATACCCTTCAACATCTCCCTGTGTAGAGGCGGACGACAGTTGATCCGACTCCACATCAGTCTCATCATCAGACATATCTGAGCCAACTGAATCGTAACCAAGATCATCCTCCGAATAGTCCTCGTCAGATATGTCAAAGGGATCGAGAGCATCTGGCACATTGAGTTGAGGCTGCAACCCCATCTGGATTAAGCAGGGATCGCTGGTAGACCGTGCACTCGACCTTGTTATGTCTTCTGGACTTATTTCATCATCAGAATCACTCTCGTCGTCGTCAGACTGTGGATCTAGGAGATGGTGTACGGTCATGCCATAAGGTTCGTTGTCCACTATGACTACACCACCGAAAGAAACCGGAGGAAGGTGCTCATTGCCGACAAACGCACCAATAGAGGCGCCACATAGCGGACGTTCGTAGTAGTAAGGATTCTCAGGCTTTGATACATCATTGCCATTTGATCGTGAAACACTACGATTTGACTTCTGGGCGAGCTTTGAGCGGCGTATACGTCCCTTACGGACCTTGAGATCGAAGATCTCATGGTTATATATGAGCTTTCTGGCTAGCACAGTCTTCACTTTCGATGTGCTTGTGCATGTCACAAAAATTGTCGGTTTTGCTTCCGCCGGCGTAGCTCCAATCGCCATAAGATCAATGCTTATGGTCTCTGGCGAGTCCTTTAATGCTCGTGAGATTATACGTTCCAGGCGAGGTAGTAGGGATTCGTGCCACTGATCTGTAACGCTCTGGGGGAATTTGATAGGGTGGATGCGTATCTTGGGCCTTACAGGTTTTTCGTATATCTGTATGCTCATTGTTGTGGTGTCCATGGGTACTAGCTCTGGTTCTGGGGTAGGGTATGGTAGAGCGCTTCTGGACTCTGTATCTGAAGAGTCTTGCAGGCTAGTAGTCATTGACGCACTTTCTGATTGCATAGCGAGTTTTTGCTTCCAGCGTCGTTGTATGATGGTTACCTTGCGCTTGTATTCTTTGAACGATGATCTTTGCGTTTTTGTACGCCAGGCACGTTGAATGATGCTGGCCGCAGTAGAGAAGCTCTCTTTGTACAGCGAAGAGATTTCTGACAGGCTCTCTCTGCTAGGCGACTGAATATTGTTTCTTTGAGCGTCCCAAGTGGTAGGATCATCATCCCGTAAGGTAGGAGCTGTGGACAAGTCATGTAGCGTGACACTTTGCCGCGGTTGTAGACCAGATGGCTCTGTGCCAACGGGAGCTTGTGCTGGAAAGAATGAAGATCCTTTTGACTGTTTTCGAGCGTCGGATATATGCGACTCTTTCTCTAGGCTCAGGCGTTTTACGATATGCGATGGGAAGGAGTCTTTTGGACTTCCAGCATTTTGATCTGACAATTGACGCTTTCTGATTCGGTTTGGTTCCTTGGCAGAAGCTTGAAGCGCAGCATCGTGTATTTCTTCCGAGGGTTCGTGTTCGTCTAATAAGCAGCATCTTTGCAACCTTGTGAGAACAAAACCGTATATTTGCGGGATACTTTGCGCGGTCTGCTTCTTAGAGATAATGCGGTCTGCGACCGTGAAGCATTCTCGAACAGCTTGCATATATGCAGACCCACATTTGGCGGACAGTTTGCGAATCCATAGGTCTTCTAACCGAATTTTGAAGTCATCGAGTGAGTATTTTGCTTTGAACAGATCGGACAGGGGTAGCCAGAGACCTATTTCAAGTAGAACCAGAGCCAGGGAGTACATATCGAAATGTAGGCCGGCTATACTAGTGTTCTTTCCATTGTTACGGGGATCTTGAGGATGTCTGTAGATATCTTGATGAGGTGTTTGTGCTTTCACTTCAGTATTGTACTCCGAAAACAAGTCAAACGAGCAGAGAAGCGGCTGCCTAACATTGAAATCAGTAGCACCCATCCCTGGAGTTCGACCAGCCGGCAGCCTATTGCGAAAAAGGAGTATGTGGCTGCTTCGAATGTCTTTGTGTTCGAACTCGATTTCGTGAGATTTACTGACTGCTTTTGCAACACGAAATGCTAGTCGAAATCGCTCTTCTAAAGGTGGCGGAAGTGTTGGATTGCCTTTTTGAGATGCTGAAGAGGCCTTCAACAATGTCGAGAGCGGTGTCGGCTGAATAGACCTAGGCTCCAACGTATTGAGCTTCGCGAAGCTTGGGATCTCGTATACGAGACCAAAACGAGCATGTTTCGGGTCCTCGAAGAACCCTAGACACACGAATGCCGCTGATGTAGACTCATCTGTTTGCAATTTAGTGAGTAACGCGAGTAAATGTTCTAGTCGGTCAAGGGGTGGTGCTACGCCCGTAGTACTGTAAGTAGGGTCGAAGTTGGCATATTCGACTAGGACTGGAATATGGACAGTTTTACTTCCACTTGTTTTCCAAGGATTCGTTGATGAATGTGATTGCGCCAACGACCCAAGAACAAGGCAAGGGGGCGGGGCTTCGGTACTATCATAGGGCGGCGGATCCTCCTGTGCAAGCACCAACGAAGATATGTCAAGCTTCGGAGGTAGACCAGTATTGAAAGAAAGGTTTGGTAGATTCGGGTTCACAAGAGTTATCTCAGACGAGCTGTATGCTCCGGAGAACAATGCTGCTCTTGACTTGGATAGCGGTGCCAAAGCAGCAGCAGATTCTTTCCGAGGTGTTATTGAGCGCGAAAGATCATAAAGAATATCAATTGAAGTGGTAAGGTCTTTTGCTAGATCCTCATACCGGGAGTGGTCAAAATTCGAATTCGTGTTGCTATCCTTGGGATTACTAGCATCGGTACCCGACTTTGTTGTCATCCGATCGGCCTCGTCGAGGATATCCTTAATAGTGCCTAGAACACTCGTAACTGTCTCTGTCAAGCCCGCGCGAGCGACAGGCTCATCGATGTCGTCCTGCGACACAGCATCCTTGTCTCTCCAATCGAGGCCCCAAGCAACGAGACGATCTTTTTGAATACGGTACTTTCGATGGAGAGCACCGAGCTCCGGATGGTTATCGATCTTGTTCGTTTGAATGACCGCCTGGCTGGAGTACTTCGTATCCGAATAAAGTTTTGATAGGCGCTGTGGGTAGGCGAAATGGACGTAGGACATCTCGTGATGTCGCTGAAACCAACTCGTGACTTGGTCGCCGCTGGTGGTGATTTTGGTCAACAGCTATGGGCAGTAGATGCAATGCATAACTTTAGAAGTATTTGCTCCGAAATGCGCCAGCTAGTTACGTGAGTAGTCGGGCAGTGGGCACCTTGAGTTCTTGAGGTTTGATAATGGACTAAAAAGCTGTTGCCTGCATGGCTTACGACTGGCATCGCAAACGGATATCTTGGCAGATCGCGCACGGATCACCCAGCTCTGTATTATGCTCAGCCTCACACCGGGCAAGATTGGTGGCGCCTGGCATGTGATGCACAGCCACATTTCCAGACGAAAATGCAAATAGGAATAATAGCCTGCGCCGCACGAATATTAGTATGCTTCTGGGAACTACAAGTTGCGCATTGAGCCACGTGTGTCACGTGCATCATTGGTTTCCAAAGGTTGTAACATGCCGCCAACGGAGGCTGCGTGATTCTCAATCTGTCTAACACAGAGTTCCTATCAATCAGTCCAACTTCAATTCTACCTCTCTAGAATTGACTTAGTCTAGTTTAACTAAGGCCTCTTACTAAGGGTTAGATCTTTAGTCTAATTTAATTCTAGGGTAGGATTAAGTTACTAATAGTTAAGTTAAACTAAAGTTATATATAGTATATATATATATATAGAGTAGTATTTTTAGGTATTAAGTTTAGGGGGCTATCTACTAAGGATAGTCCGTTAGCTAATAGTAACCTATACTAGTCTCTCTATATCTAGCCTATTCTAGCTATTATTCTAAGCCTTATATTTTTAAAGTATTTACTATCTCGACTTATAATCATTATGTCTACTACCACGCGTTAATACTATTAATATAGCTTCTTAGCGCCTAGTTCGTGCGTCTAAAGTATACTCTCGTAATATATTTAAATAGTAATATTCCTAGATTAAGTATACATAGAGAATCGCGCGTCCTAGAAAGTCCTAGAATATATTATCTCTTAATAAAGATAATAAAGATAATAATAATAATATAACTATCTATAGACTAATACTACTATCTCTACCTAGTACTAGCTTTATACTATACTAGTCTATACCCAAAGACCTATATAGCTACCTAGTATAAGAGAGAGAGGTAATAGAGATAGATTATAAGAATAGGGTTATTAGATAGTAGTATAGTTAGATAGAATAATAGGGTATATTCTATTATAGAACGAATTACTACTAAACCCTTTTAGTAGGAATCCGAGAGTATATATATAAAGGGACGCCGATCTATCTAGTACGTAACTATTTACCGCCCTTTATATTACCTTCTAACCCTATTAGCTAAAGTATATATAGATTAGGTTCTACCTAAGGCTAAGTCCTAATAATTATTCCTTCTCTCTAGGAAGCTACCCTTAGCGACCTAGATTATTATCTATCTCTATATCCCTATTCTAAGTCTTATAAGACCTTAGTCGTTCTCTATACTTTATCTTAGATACTTACTAATATTTACTAATCTAAGATTTATATAAGCGTTTTTCTAATAAACTAGATTTTATCTATCTTAACTTCTTATATAGGTAAGATTACCTAATTAGGCCTAGCGTATCACATAATATAATTAGATAAGCCTAGGTGCTACCTATATTAAAATCTTTTCTTAGAAATATTCCTTTCTTTAAAAAACTTCATTAGGAAAGATACAGCGCTCCTAAGTACTCCTAAGTACTCCCTAAGTATTCTTTCATCCCATTATATCTATCGGGCGGACCTACTTACTATCTATCCTAACGGGACGGCTTTATATAATTTATACTAAGTATTCCGTTTATACC